ATTGCAAAAATGAAATGTGAATTTTCTTAAATGTGCTCAGTGCGGTTGCGTTAGGAATCAAGTCTTGCTGCTTCCCTTTAAACTTCCGAAATCTATTCCCCTTTTCTGAAAACTTATTAACTAACAGTTTATAGTCTATGCTTTTTACTGATTCATTATTTTCCCTTATTTGTCGAAACAAAAATGTTCGTTCTCGCGTTTCTATTTCTCTTCTAAGAAATTTTTATAATTCTGTTACATTCCAAGAATTGTCTTTTTCATGCTGTCTATAAAAATCTAGCCCAATGGAATCTGAAATAAGTTTGGTTATTAGTGGAAACAACAAACTTCCATATGAATTCAGTTCGACATCAAGAGTTTGTAAACCCCGCACTTGGATTACTATTGTATTGTATAACTCCCTTAACTGTTTCAAATACGAAGCTGATTTTACTGCATTTAAATTTAACAAATGGTTAATATGAGATCTTACAATAATTTCTTTTTTCCCGTATCTTTCTTTAAGAAATTCAACTGCTAAATCATAATTATTTTCCAATACCAATAGTCCTTGAATACTAATTAAGGCTGGTCCTTTCAAGAAAGCTTTAAGATAATTATATTTATCTAATTTAGACAAGTGTTCGTTACTGAGAATCGCATTATGAAACTGTGACCAGAATTCCTGAAACTTTTCTAAATTACCCTCAAACGGTTCTACATGAAGTTTCGGCAAACTTATTCTCAGTGCGTCTGGTTCACTATTCGAAATAAGTGAAGAATTATTCTTCAACGACAAATCTGCCTTATTTCTATACGTTCTCTGTATTCCTGATTATTCTCGACTTCTGTTTCCAGATCAGATACTTCAGGAATTAAATTCTCAATTTCTAGATCTAACTTAAATATCTAATCTGCTTTTTCTTGTAGATTTCATCTCACATTCTTCTAATGATTTTGTATCTATAATATCCTGTTCCAATAATTCAGATATTCTGCTAATTACTTGTGTTGTTAACCTTCTTAGAGTTTTACGTTTTACGTTTCGTTTTGCTTCATTTACAGCTTTCTTTCTATTCTCATCCATAATTTTAACTAATAATATAATTCTATACTCCTAAATTCTATATTCTGTTAGAATTATTCTACAGTTCGCATGTAGAATAATTCTAACAGAATATAGAATTTAGGAGATGAGTCATTCAGTGCGTGCTAGCATCAATCATCCCACTTCTGAAATGTTAACTTTAATCTCCGTAATTAATCTCAGGACGGCTAGGGGTAAGTTGGGCTTTCATTTTCATTCAATCGGGATAACTCTTGCATTTTATAAATTCTTTGTTATTACAATAAATATATACATATCATTACGAAACATTCTTAAACTTAGTCACATTCTCTCGCTTCCCGATTCTCGATTGCCATCGTGCGCCCCCTATCAGCAGCTTCTCTTACAATGCCATCTATCGGCTGATAACACATTCTCTGTCGTAATATTTTTAAAAGAACTGGAAAATAAATACAGAAATTTAGAAAATACAAGTTTTGTGTTATTAAAACAATAACATGTGTTACATACTACGAAACAAATTATAGTTAACTTGCCAAAAATCCCAGATTACAAATTATATCCGTAGCAAGTGTGATACAAGTTGTGTCCTTCAGATCACAATGTCAACTGTCCGTTACAATTAAAGTTTAAAAATTCAAAATCGGTCTGAAGTCGGTCAACCACGTCGATCGAATATCATCAAGAACCATTCAGGCAGACAAGGCGTTCACATTGGCCTTGACTCCCATACGTTTCTCATAATTCACGAGGCAGTCGAAGGGGAAGAAAATCCGATGAACCGGAACTGTTATGCCACTGTTTATGTTCGTTGGCGCAGTTTTCGATGAGTTATATCATTCTTAATTTGGACGGAAATTAAATAGAGGTTTAGTAAATAGTAAGTAGATTTTATGTCAAGCAGCATAGGTTAAAATGAGCATTAAAATCATAATCAGCATGATTCATTAAAATTATCAAGTAGCATTAAATATTTTACACTTATAATAGTTGGGACATATTTGAAAGAAGATAAGTGACATTTACATTTTACTAACAGTTAGCTTGATGTTGATTTTTTTTTTTTTTTTTTTTAATATCTCATTTTGTCACATACTTGGTCAGTCTAGAGCTTTAGTAAATAGCAGGTAGATTTTATGTCAAATGGCATAGGTTAAAATGAGAAGTAAGATCATAATCAGCACGATTCATAACAAAAGACTGACAGTTGTTACCACTCCTGCTTGCCTAGAGAGAGACCTGCTGGTCAGAACAAACCTGAAAGGCCTGATGTAGGCACAGCTAGTAAGCTTTAAAAGTTAGCTGAGCTCTGTCTGATGCAGTTAGTGTCGGAGCTTTGTGTACAGTTCCAGGGGTTGTAACTCAGTTAATATACTTTAAGGTTCTATTAAGCCACTAAAGCACTAGAGGTGATAGGTTGTTTTGCATCATTTTAAGTTTAACTAGATGCAAAGAATAAGTTTTACATGAATTTTTATATTTTCTTGTTTTACCTTGTGACCATTGTAAAGGTTAATGAAAGCCAATAACTCGCTTTAATATGCAAAGATAATTTTTAAGGGTAAGCACTTAGTTATAAGTAATTAAATTAGGTATTAGATAACCTTAGTCATATGGATTTACATGGACACTATCAAAATTAATTTATTTTTTAATAATATTTGTTAAAAAAAACCTATTAATATCACAATCTAATAAAATATCACAGTTTAAAATACATGCAATTTATGACATTGATTTTTAAACAATATTAGGATAATTACACATTAAACATTTATGTTTTGTAGCAACAAAACTCAACAAAATAATTATGAGTCTTTTTAATCTGAAGGCCTGCCCAGACATTTTGGCTAATTTATATCGATTTCCTTCCCCTTAAGCATCTTTTCTAGCAATTAGAAATTTGCCTCAATAGGCAAAACAATGTTCTCATTAGTTTTTGCCTGTTTTATCTAACCGCTCCACAATGTACTACCTATGAGGGTTTACTTAATCTGGTAAAAGTTAAATAGTCCACCCCGCTCCCCCTCCAACAGACATGAAATAAATTATGGCTATCTCTGAAAGTAACTATAAATCAGAGGTTTAAATAAGTTTCTAATTAAAAAAGAATTTCGAACATAAAGGCATGTTCTTATGCTAACAAAATCAATTACAGCTCATGGTGATGTAATTAAACAAGAAGAGTCAAATTCAAACTAAAAATATGGACTAGTGATCAAAGGCAAGCGGCCAATTTAATCTGGTTCATTAACTCATATATCCTCATAATAAACTCAAACGGAAATTATCAGATCAGCAGCGGTAATGGAAATTATCAGATCTGATAGAAACTAATACAGGGAGCAAGCAGAGGTCAGAAACACACTCCTGTCTTACACTCCGTAAACCTCAGTTTAATAACTATAACTGTCTCAGTGATTTGCATTCTGGTGAGGAAATAGAAATGGGAAATTATAGTAAAGGGTGAAATTGTTAACAACTGGGTAATTTACATAATAATAACTACATATCTCTGAAGAATAATTTTCTTTCTCTTTATATATTTAGTTCGTTTCTTCAGTACGTTTCCTTTTCATTATATGAAATACATATGGTAAGGTCTGGTCAGACAGCTGGTAAGGCATAATTTTTAGAATTTAGTGACACACTGAGCAACAAAATCTAGAAATGGCAAAACTTTTAGAATTTAGAGCAGGCATTGGAAGCAGAATTTAGAAAGGCAACAGGCAGCAGAATTTTGGATGCACAGAAACTGCATCAGGTGGCAAAATGCCTAGCACCAGCCCTGTGTATGATGAATTAAGACATATTAGATGAATCTTTTGAATTGTCAGTTTCCAATTTCTTTATTAATAAAAAAATTCCTTCCTATACTGCCTGTCCATATGATAAGATTAGAAGCATTTTTGATATTTTCCATGGTTGTGTCTAGTGAAAAGTAGGGAAAGAGAAAACTTATGTATATTCTGAGAATTCTGAGCATTCTGAGAAATGGAAAAAAACTCTTACCATGAAAAAATTAAAAAGATGTTTTTAATTAATTACATAGCTATTTTGCTTTTGCTAAAAACTGTTTCGTAAATTGTGCTTTATAGCATTATACCTTGCTTATTTTTCAGATTCAAAACATTGTATAATATGTGGCCAAAATGGAACTTTATAATATGACAGTGAAAAATAAAAATGCTTTATTTTAATGTTATTTCTTAAATATAATTCCAATACATTACCATTATTTTAATGAAATTTATCAGTGTTAGAATGTCCTAAAAAAGTCGCCAAAAATTTCCCAGATTTCGGAATTAAAAATTTTCTATCTATAAAAACCGATTTTAAAATTACCAAAATGTTGATAAGTCACCAAATTTAGAACCATTTAATAAAAGAATTCACATCCCCAAACACGGAAAGTTGTTTAAGAGCTCATTACAAAAAATGAAATAATTTTGAAATGCTTATGTTTCACTTCTTGCTCAGAAACTCGAGTATCCCACCAGTTATATTACAAATAGGAACAAATTAAACCCATTCACCCATTCAAAAAATAACCATATTTGTCAGTGAATCGCCAAAATTATTGCTGCAAAATGCTAATTTACACTCAAAATGGCAGTTGTGAAAACAGACAAAAATTTCAGATTATTAAAATTTAGAACCTTCTGCCAATTTTGGCCGAAATTAAGGACTTTTAAGGACCAAAAATCGATTCAAAAAAACTTAAGGACTTTTAAGGACCGTACGAACCCTGAAGGATGCAGACACCAAATGTTATCACTATGTATTATTTTAAAATATATAATATAGCAAATATAAAAAAGTTAACACTTTGTAAATGTAAACATTGATAAACAGAGTGTGTCCAAGCCATGCCCATTTTTCTCTCTATGCCTTTTCTTATATTTTCGATTACATTAAGAATTAAAAATGTTATCTAAAAAGTAATTCTTACTTGCGTGATGTCTTGATCTCCATCAGGCCACATCTGGGAAATCACAGGATCAGCACTACGAAAGAAGACAAAATATTCAACTTATTTATGCAAGGTCTTGATTTAATATTTTGCATTTTCATAAGACAAAATATACTGCATAAATTGGTTAGTTTAAAACTTTAAAACTAATTAAAAATAAATGTTAAAAAGAAAAAGGTGAGAGTACAATATGAATATGAATAAAAGATGACTTGTGAACATTAAGAATTATTCATACAGAAATTAATCACAAGTAATATAAGCTCTGTTGTCTATAAATTACCTATATTATGCAAACATTTCACACAGATTAAATAAAAAAACTATCATTTAAAGATAACCATAAATGGAATCTATTCATTATATATTTGAAAAACCATAAAACATTCAGAAAGTTTTATTCCATTTCTAAAAAAGTCGACCCCTGGAGATTTTATGATGAAATTTGCATTTTCAGCTTTTAATATAAAAAGTATAATAATAATAAAATGTATGATTAAAAAACATCATAAATGTTATAATAAGCTATGAAAGTTTTTATCAGAATAAGACAGCTAAATGTGGAAGTTTAAAGGAAGGTAAAATTCAAATTTAGACTGGTGTTAGTTTTAAAGGAAATGCTTCATACACTTCAACTTCTTTTAAGAACATAATATCAATCATAAATTTTATTAATTAAAAGACAACTACAAATGTGTTTCTCAAACTATGGTGCATGGGCTACAAGTGATCCTTAAACCATGCCCCTATGATCTTCCTAGATTTCCAAAAATGTCCTTTATCTGTAAATGAAACTAACAAAATTTTACATCATTCCTTGCTGATGCCATGTGGTTCAATATGCTGGCATATCTTTCTCAAACTCAATGAATTCAATGTATTCTCAACACCAAATGAATTAAATTACCGTCTTAAAGGTTATTCTTTGATTGTTCTCAGTGCCCATGAGAAATTATAAAAGTCTGTGAGGAAATTTGATTTGTGGATTAGTTGTGTAAAACAACATATTTTACCATTTTCAACTTAAAAAAATTTTTAGTAGAAAATTTTATCATTATTAGAAAAGAATTATGAATGACTATGTTCTCATCTCAAAACTCTGAGGTCATAATTTGGAACTTATTTTCCAAGTGGTAAATATAATGAATTGTTATGGGTTCTTGATCTTTTCCACTGTGATTTTGAATGTAACAAACTGCCGTTGACTGAAAGAGAACAGTTAACTCTCTAATGATACCCAAGTTAAAATGAAATTTTAAGCAGAAGATATGTGTAGTGCCTGGTCCTCCAAAACTGTAACCCTGAAAATAGATAGCGCCCTCTAGGTTGAAAAGAAGTAAGTTGGAGACTGGCTTTCGGTGGGAGAGGCCGAATGCTCAGTGTGGTAATTTTATAAATTTAACAATCCTATTATCTTATATATTTCTAATTGTACAAAGTGTATATAGTTTACGTTGATAGTGTGAATAAATTAAAAGATAAATCTGAGTCTGTTAATTACGGCACCGGACACGGCTGGATCTTACACTGTCGCAGTATGACACGATTAGAATCGAAACTAGTCTCGACAGAGAAAAGATAAGCGATTTATGCTTATCTAGTATTTTAAAGTAACTCTAAATTTTAGTTATGTAAACTGTATAATAAGATAAATTATAAGTTACTATAATAGTTTGAACTAATTAGCGCTATATTATGAAGTTATAAGAAAGTCTCAACATGTTCTCGGTTAAAGGTCTCAAGAAACAAGATTTATTTTTATTGGCAAAAAAAACTAGGTCAGGATGCTGATGAAAGTCTTAAACTCACAGAACTGAAAGATAAATTACTAACAGTAATGATTACAAAACTGATCCTGAATTCGTTAAATCTATGCTAATATCCATCATTGATGATAGAAAATCCACTGAAGAATTGGAAGCTGAAAGGTTGAAGCTAGAAAATCTAATTTAAATTAGAGAAAGAACACGAACTAGAAATCTCAAACTTAGAGCTTCATCTAATTTTAATCTTTCGGATAACACATTGTTAGAAAATTTAATTAAAAGCATAAAAACTAACGATATCCGTTCTGACTCGTCCGGAATCATGGACACTTTATTTCTCTTCGTTAGAAAAGAGCATTTAAGATTTAAAATGTGCCAGAAGAACACAAAGCCAAAATTTTGATAAATCTTTTAGGTGAAAATTCAACAAACGCCTTGATTTATGTTAGTGAAGATGATGTCATAAATTACGAAGCAGTTAAGAATAAAATCTTAAAAGAATATTAGCCAACTACTCAAGCATGTATGGATATGTTTCAAAAGGCTCAACGTCAGTCAGTGGAAACACACACACAGTTTGCATCCTGGTTAATGACACAGTGGAAATACTATTGCACCTTAAGGAGTGCAAATGATTTAAATACAGTTCATGAATTAATTGTAGCCAATTCTTGCAATGCAAACTCTTGGTCACGAGACAGCCATGCATATAAACATGAAACAAGGTGATACTTGGTTTAAAACCCGCGGATTGGAAAGGAATGCGACACGTTCTTCGCTTGTAAAAGAAAATCTTTAAATGATATCGTAGCTGTTCTCAGAAAACACCGAATATTGAAACCAAAAGTACTCACTATGTACCCCCTCCTATGCGAAAACCGGATGGTTTGCCCAAAATTACTAAAGTCGAAAAAGGATTGTTATATTTGTGGATCTTTCCAACATATAGCTAAAGACTCAGAAGGAATTTAAATGCGAAAATCAAGTAATAAATTGCAGAAAAGTGACGCGGTTGTGGCCCAGATTAATACAGAATACCTCAAGAAGAAACAAGTCGAAATTCAGCCTTTGCAATATGTAAAAATATTAGTTGAAAATAAAGAAATTGATGCTATTATCGATTCAGGTACACAAATTCCTGTATTAAACAGTAATATTGTACTGCCAACCGATCACGAAAATGGAAAAATCAAGTTAATATCTGCATTTTGCGAAGAAATAGAAGCAAAATTAATAAAATTATGTCATGAAAGATGAGGATTCTGATTTATTATGCTACCCGGTAGACATTTTGGCGGCGGTAACAGATCGCTTGAACGTAGATTGTTTATTACTCATACAAACCTTTCAACTCTTGTGCCACGGATGCGGTTTGAAGGGGGAAACAAATTTAATGGGGGAAATAAATTTGGAAAGCGAAACTAATAAATGTTTAGATTACATGAAGTCAAATACGCCTGAAATAAACATTCCTCAGCCATATGAAGAAACTAAAATAGGGATAATACATATGCCAACATGCATTCCGTAATGACTCCAATACAGGTATTAGAAAATAATCAACGTAATGACGTATTAAATTTTTGAGTGGAGCAGATGTCTTGTCCGACTTTAGAAGAAGTCAGAATTAATTTAAGACAGGGGAAAGGAAATTTTATGGAACTTGATAATATAATTTTTCATAAGGATAAAGTAATGGGAGATTCAGTTCAGCAGTTAGTTCTTCCAAAGAGTCGAAGAAAAGATTTTTAAAATTAGCACATGAATCTATTTTCGAGGCTCACATGGGAATAAAGAAAACAAAAGAGAATCAGATATAATTTCTACTGGCCCAATATGACTAACGATATTACTGAATATTGCCTATCTTGCAAACCATGTCAGTTAAGAAGTACTGAAAAAATAACTGATAGAATTCCTATTACCACAGTTCTAAGACCTTATTTACCATTCGAAGTTGTTAATATCCATATTATAGGTCCTATAGAACCTCCTTTGGCTAGAAAACATAAATATGTTTTATGTTTAATGGAACATTCACGTTGGCTAGAAGTCATTCTATTACGTTCTTTAACGGCAAAAGCTACTTGTGATGCTCTGTTGGAAATATTTACAAGAACTGGTAATCCGAAAATTATAGCAAGTGACCAAGGAGCTACCTTTATTTCTCAACTGACACAAGAATTTATGAAACGTCTTGGATGTCATCCTAGATTTTCAGTTCCAGGATATCCAGCTAGTAATGGACTTGTCGAGAGGTACAATCGAGTTTTGAAAAACGCTCTACATAACATCATCCGTATAGATCCATCTAATTGGGACAAGTATCTACCATATTTGCTCTTTGCTTATCGCGAGGTTCCCAATTCTACAACAGGAGTTTCTCTGTTCAAATTAATGTATGGTCGAGAGATACGTGGTCCACTGTGTGTTTTGAAATATAGTTGGAGTGGTGAAATACCAATACTCTTAAATATAAAGCAATCTGTTGTTGATTATTTACAAGAAATGAAAATAAACTTAGAATGAGCAGCTGATCAAGCATCCTTGATAGCATCTGAGAAACAGGCAGCTTATTCGAATTACTTTAATCGTCAAGCTATACCTAAAGAATTCAAAGTAGGAGACAAAGTTTATTTGCTTATTCCCAATTCGTTCAATAAACTTTATGCAAGATGGACTGGTCTAGGGGAGATTATAAAGTATTATCCACCTCATTCATATAAATTTAAACTCTCAGATGGGAAAGTAAGACATGTTCACGTAAATAAAATCAGAAAGTATATCGCTAGAGTAAATGCTGTGGGAGTTATTTTCGAAAATGAAGAAGAATTTGGAGAGATTCATCCAACTCCACAAGCTTCGTCTCAAGATATAAAAGCTGTTCTCCAAAAATTGCAATTTGGAAATTTAATGGGTGATCGACAGCAGCAAATTCAACAACTCATAAGGAAGCACAAATCGTTATTTACAGGCAAAATGAAAATTGCAAAGGGGGGTTTTTCACAAAATAAAATTAAAACCCAATGAAGAAAGGAAAAAGCCACTTATCTACCGGATTCCGGTAACTTTAAAATCCAAAGTTGATGAACAAATTGAAGAGCTGTTAGAACTCGATTTAATAGAATAAAGCAGTGCAGAAATTGCATATCCTATTGTTTGTGTGAATAAGAAAGACGGGGGAATTCAATTGTGTGTTGTTATCATGCATTGAATTCTGTAACAATTACTGATGATTTTCCTATGCAAAGTGCTTCAGAACTTATACATTCAATGTGACGAGCTAATACATTATCAACACTGGATTTACTACGAGGTTATTGGGCTATTTCTATGTATCCTGAAAGTTGTGATTACACTTCGTTTAAAACCCATTGACAACAGTGTAGATTTAAAGTTATGAGTTTTGGTCTGAAAAACGCTGCAGCAGCATTTCAAAGGGAAATCAATAAATCACTCCCTGAATACAAAGACTTTGCCAGAGCATATATTGATGACATCGAAATATTTTCAAAGGACTGGAAATCTCACATGGTTCATTCAGATATAATGCTCACTAAGTTGGAAGAGCTTCATTTTACAGTCAATATCAGCAAATGTGATTTTGCCAAACCACAAATAAAATATTTGGGTCATGTAATCGGATCTGGAAAACATCAAGCCGATCCTGAGAAGATAGAAGCAATTTCCAGATTATCAAAACCGAAGACCAAGAAGCAACTCAGAAGTTTATTGGGCCTATGTAACTATTATAGAGACTATATTCCAAAATATTCTGAATTAGTATATCCACTTACTGAACTTACAAAGAAGAAGATACCTGAGGAAATACCATGGAAAGAAGAGCACGACATTGCTTTCGAGGAACTCAAGAATGCTCTGATTAAAGCCCCATCGTTGTATACACCAGTTTTGGGGCAGCCATTCATTATACATTGTGATGCCTCATAAATAGGAGTTGCAGCATTTTTGTCACCAAATTTCAATGAACACAATTATCCCATAGCCTATGCAAGTCAGAAGTTAACTCGAGCTCAGCAATCGTGGTCTACTACTGAAAGAGAAGCATATGCTACTGTGTGGAGTTTGAAAAAATTTGAAACCTGGATTTTTGGATCCAAAGTTGAATTTTACACCGACCATAACCCTTTGCCTTACCTGACCTGACAAAATGTGCACCGCAATCATCTGGATTACAATGTTGGGCTTTTGCCTTACAAAAATACGAAATAGACATGAAGCATCTACCAGGAGTCAAAATGGGTAACACAGAAGCCAGATCCCAGACTGATAGAAGGATGAATATCCTTTTTATTTATTTCTTTTTATGGACCAAAAACATTTATGGACAATTCATAAAGACTTTAAATTTGGTGGTTCGATTGTTAATTTTCTTTAAAGCTTATTGCAAGATATATCTTTAAGTAATATTTGTTAAGTTATTAAAATTAGTTACAGCAATTAGATGATTTAAGTGTAGCATTCTTAACCATTTAGAAGTTTTTCTTTAAATGTATACTTGTAAGAGTTAACTCTTTTGTTATGCAAATGTTGCAATATTTTATATTTTCTTTTAGTTGATTAGTAGTTATAATGTTGAATTGTGAGCACCAGGCTTTGTTACCAGAATGTGTTTGGACATCCTGCCCAACCACAATCTTAAGGGGAAGGTGTAGTGCCTGGTCCTCCAAAACTGTAACCCTGAAAATAGGTAGCGCCCTCTAGGCGGAAAAGAAGTAAGTTGGAGACTGGCTTTCGGTGGGAGAGGCCGAATGCTCAGTGTGGTAATTTTATAAATTTAACAATCCTATTATCTTATATATTTCTATTTGTACAAAGTGTGTATAGTTTACGTTGATGGCGTGAATAAATTAAAAGATAAATCTCAGTCTGTTAATTACGGCACCGGACACGGCTGGATCTTACAATATGATTAATTTCTGGACTTCAATGAAAACATAATACAGTGAACTATACAATGGTGCTTTAAAATTATAATTCAGTTGGTATCTATGTAAGAAAGGGTTTTTATCACTAATGGAAATAAAACAAAAGACTGAAATCGACTTGATATATATGCTGATCTCAGACTTAAGCTTACTACCATACATCCGAACAGGGGACAAATGTGCAAGAAATGATAGGCTCATCTATATCATTAGTGCGAATACAACATTTATTTAATTTTTAGTTAATAAGATAAAGATTATCCAAACTCTAATAGCCTAGGTAGAATTATTAATAGAATTGTTAAAAGCAAATACAATTTCACTCTATTCACTCAACTGATTAACACCAATAAAAATTAAATTAATTTTAATTAATGGCATTTTTAATATATATATATCTGCTAGTAACATAGGCTAAAATTCCTTTTGAATGGGAGAAGAGTAAGATGGCCGGCAGAATATTCTAATCTATAAAACTGGTCCTAGCTGGAAAAAAGTTTGAGAACTGAACTACACCATTTAGATATATTATTTCACTTACCTTTAACAAACACATTAGTTATAACTTATTAACAAAACTTTTTAAGTTTAATACAAAAAAATCTATTTACTATTTTTACTTTAGAACTGTCAATTTTCCCTTTAATAAAATAAAAATTTTTTTATAAAAAATTTAAATAAGAAACTTTAAAAAATTACTTTCTCACCCACCTGCAAAACATAAGTCTTTTGAAATCTTGATACAAAGAATCCATATTTTTATCCATAAATCCAACAATAGAATATGTAACATCACCAGCATAATGCTTGATTCTAAAATCTTTTCTGTGCTCTAAACTTTTATCAGTGGGTGCAATCTGAAAACAATTTAATTTTTTCTTCATATTCAGAAATAATAAGATCAGTAGCACAGAAACATAAAAATCATATTTGTATATGAAAATTTACCTTGCAAACATAGCTAAATACTATTTATTAAGAGTGGTTATGTTCTAGCATTAACTACAGTCTAATCCATAGCACTAACTATTTTAAAAAAGTAAAAGTTCTTCCTAAAAAGCAGTTACATACAAATGACATTTCAATTTTGCAAAAATTGACACACTGCAGTCTAAGTCATAAAATAGTTTACTGCGCATTCTGTGGAGTTCTTTCAGCCCAAAGCATCAACTTGAGAAGACAAACACTACATATCAGTGGAAGTCTTCAACAGAATTTTGAATCATGCCATCTGATTAGCACCTAGCTGTACTAAAAGTCAGATCGTAAGCACAAATGAAGATTTCAATCATATCTCTAAGAAGTTTTCTAATAGGCTCACATTCACATAATGTAGTGACAAAACTATCTATCACAACTATTCAGAATACTTCCCAAATCAAGAGCAATGCTGATGATGTAGTACACTACTTTCCTGAAAAATCTCATCATTTCACAGTACATGAAAGTTTACGATGGGCTGCATATTTTAAAACAGCAACTGAATGCAACAACTGCCTTTTAATGATAATGGGCTCAGAAGGTCTCATACCATGTTATAAAAATACAACATATCGACATGGAGCTACACCCTCCCTATAAAATACCTTAATGACTTGGATCTACAGTTTCATGGGCTCTGTACCATACTGGAATCTTAACATCAGATCATAACAATTGGTAACATGACTCACTGACACAAGCTACTTTTATCCAGACCTGTAAAGACCAAACCCATAGTCTATTGTTAGCAAAAGTAATTGTCTTCAGAATATAATCCTCTATCAAAAAATATTCTATTGTTATTACTGTAGCAAATAGTTTATCCAACAGATGGCAGTGCCTGCCAAGCTCCTTTGGTAATTGTCAATGCGCATGCGCACCCTGAGTGCAGGAAAAAGTATGTTATAAGAGAATGAGTTTTCGTTAAACATGTTCCTGTGCACTTTTGCTGTGTAAATAAAAGTATATTTTTGTAGCGTGGATGTTCTTTACTCTCTAATGAAAAGCACTAGGTTAGTGCACGAATGTCAACTGATTCAAAATCTATTTTCAAAACATGGATCTCCACAATTACATCCCAGCAAGGTTAAATTTTACTGGTAAACAGACCTTAAAAAATATGCTGTTACCATCTATATTGAGAACAAATGTTACTTCATACAATATTATTTGTCTTAAACCACCAAATCAGTCAATGTTTTGTTTAAAATAGGGGATAATATCTTTTATGAGGTAGTCTTGATACACTTATAACACAACAAATCAAGGAATTTTGAACATCTAAACACAATTTCAGAAGCTTAATTTTTCGAAGTCATAAGGATACAATTATCCTCCTGCATCCCAAAACTGATACAACAAACTGCCTTGATACATAAATTTTCACTTTATTCTATTATAGAGATGAGATAAAACTTTTCATCACTAAATTTCCCCTTCTGAACATGGATATACACTTTATTTTTTAAAGAATAACTCGTTTAAAAATTACAGTAAAATTTATGTTATATTTTAACACCTATAAATAATGTTTTGGTCATAATTAGAGGTTTTGAAATAACTGAAATTGAGAAACAAAATAAGGTCTCCTTACAAATTTCACTACCTGAACATGGGTATGCATTGTATTTTCTAAGATTGGCTCTTGTTGAGAAATTACAAAAGAATTTAAAAATCAACATTTTTCTAACTAAAACAATTTTCTTGTACAGGAAACTGCAGTAAACAATAGTGAAACACTAATGAATGTTTGAACAAAACACTATGAATGTTTAAGCTTTGAAAATGCCAGCAATTTTCAGCTTATCTTTGCAGCTAAGTTTTACCCCATCCTTACACATACTCCAACAGAAATCAGCTAACATTGCTTCACTCAACTTGCTCTTTTGTATCATTCTTCCATTGTTGCAATTTTTTGATTAAAGCATTTTCCATGCTCATCAATGAAATTTTTACAACTACCAGTAATGGAATTTAAATGAGAACGATTTTCAGATGTTTGACTCCTACCATACCAATAATGAATTATTGCTGGTTTATCACGCAAAGCGCAACGTTACCAGCTATGCTGAAATAATGCCATGAGCGTGGCAACTGAGATTGTAATCTACGTGGGGTATTGTGTCCGTGAAATGGTGACTTGAGTCCGGGAGAAGAAGGGGGTGTCGATGTAACACCATGAGTTGACGAGCAGCGTTGCTACACGTTTGTCATTGCTCAGGAGAAACTGAAGCTCTGGCAAAGAACGTCTAACAAATACTAAGACAGATGAGAATGATTACAAATAAATGATAGAATGATATTTGACTCCTTTTTCATACTTTCCGTTTTATACTGTTATGTGCACCACTGCTAAAAATCTTTCAGCTAAGGTAGCAGAAGAAAAATCGAAGAGTCGCAAGAAATTGCATGTGATGTCAGAGATCATGTCATTTTCGTGACGGCATTGTTATTTATGCTCACATGACCTCTGATGTCAGCACAAATTCACTTTCTATTGGTTCCATAAGTTATTGACTGTAATGTAATTCATGCTTGCTTTAATTATGTATTTAGTTTTTAAAAACATTTTACTCATAAATTGCTAATTTTCTATTGTTTAAATATACATTTCTTTTTAAATTAGTTCTTGATTTAGGTTTTTATTTTAAAATTAATTTCTACGTATTCATTTTTATGCAATTTCTTATGGTTAAATAGTTATCACTTTTGCATAAATATTTTTTCACTGCCTTCTGTTTTATTTTAATTTTTAATGCTTTTCAGTGATTTTTCCATTCTGCTCATTGGACTAGTTTAAATTTATCAGATTCTGATTACTAAAGACAGGCCTATTCTGTAACCGATAAATTTTTTGGGGGGTTTTCTAGGAAAAAGATATTGCTTTGATTTTTAAGCCATTTCGATTTATTAATTCTTACCAATATTACAATCAGGAAATTAATCTCTTTCTCTATTTGAGTAGCCAATATATGGCATGCAGGCTACAAATTGATTCATTATCATCACAGAATTGGGGAAAAAACTGACTAAAAAATCTGTAGAACTGAAAAATCCGACTACTGAAAAATCTGTAGAACAACAAAACCATCGTTAAAGCAAAGTTATCGGTGCATAACTTTGCTTTACACTCTTCTGAAATATTTTATTTTTTATTACTATTGTTTTTATGAAATTAATGTACCTATCAATAATATAATCTTTGCTCCATGAGTTCAAATTAAAATTTTTAAACCGCCGTACACAACAGGCAAACAACTCAAGTTACATATTTTTTCACAATACTTTAACTATTAATTTTTAAAATAATATATACAGTACAAAGTCTTTAATCCGGACATCCATAATCCGGAATGATCTATAATCCGTACCTCAAACAACAAACTTTTTGCGCATGCGCCAACGCATGAATGATCTATAATCCGTACCTCAAACAACAAACTTTTTGCGCATGCGCCAACGCATAATGCGTTGGCGCGTGTGTATATGCGTTTAATAATACCTTTATGCATGCGAATATGCATTTACGCATGCACATAATACGTTCACGCATGCACATTTAATGTATAACAGCTGGTATAAGCTAGGCTAAAATTATCTATTTCAGTTAGTGTTGCAGATTGTGTTATTCCTTAATCTTCTAATTGGATCTGGCTTATTTTTTGCAGACTGTTAGAGCAATTTTATAAAAAGTAAGCTTGAACTTTCGCTTATGTTAAAAAGAGTTTCCGATTCTGGAGCTGCCAAAGGATCTACAAAGCGTAAGTGAATTTATAAGAGCAGGTAAATTTTGTATTCCTCAAAGAGCTAAAAGAAATACCCTGGTCGTGCACATTCCACGCTAGTGGCTTCTGATTGCAGAGCTCCTCAGACATTTTTAATGATGTAACCAAATGGGGGAGACCACTGCTGCTGCTTGTACAGAGAAGTCTTTATGTTTATTCTCCTGTTGTATTCAGGAAAAGTATTCAGGGAAAATTTCTGTTTGAAGGCTACACTCTTAGTGACATTAGGTTATTTCATATCAAGAGAGATGAAAAATTAATTATTTAAAATTTATTTAATAATTTATTATATTTCTCTTTACATTTTTAAAATTAAAATTTATTATTTAATTAATTGAATTTGTTTGTTTACTTAATTAATATAAATTTAAATTTATTATTTTAATTTTTAGCTATTCTATTCATTTATTTATTTCCTTCCTCACAGTCTCCATAGGACTCCGGCACTTCTAATTCTAGAAATTAAGCCCTGATAATAAAGCTAATTCAGATCTCCAACATAAAAACACATAATTTTCGATACAAATCTAGATATAGCCCCAAAACACTTTTGATTTAAAATACAACTCAGAACTCTTCAAAACACCAGGGATAGATAAATCACACTAAAGAAATCTAAACACCAGTTCAAAATAAATTAAATAAGCCAATCATATTGTCACAAAAATGAAACTCAAAAGAAACATACACTAATTAAAACAATAAACACATTTATTAAATATTCCAAATATTATAATTTTAGATAGCTGGCCAGACTACCCCTACAAAACATTATCTTAAAATTTACTTATTATTTCACATTTGATGGCTTATTTCTCATTAGAAGTATGAATACTACAAATTATTAATTAATAATTCACATTTAGATGGAACATTTTATCTTCTGAGATTTTGTAATAAACTAAATTACTTGTTATAATACTGAAATTACAATTACTTTAGTGAAATTGCTTTTCAGAAATATTTGTTTTAGGGCATATAGAAATTAAATAAACATGACCGTTAAACAGTAAAAAATAATAACTTCACTCCCTCTAATTTAGGCAAAACACTAGTAAATACAAACGAGAGGAAAGGAAAAATTCACTCACAGAATCTGCGTACACAAGTCTGAGGGACACAGGGAGCTGCCCAGATCCAGGCACAAATGTTCGAAACAATTACGGCCAAAACTTCATGTTGTCAGGAAAACTGATACTGAAGTCTGTTCAAGGCACAATGGGAATTTTCTCAAAAGTTCCAGCACTATACGCTGTCTAGTAGCATTTCAACTCTGAAATCAGTTTTCCCTTTTATTTCAAAGTTCATCTAACGATAAACACAGGAGAAGGACAAGAGGAGACAACAGACCACAGCAGACATAAGGAGATGACTCCACTCTTTCCATACTGTCCACAGAAATCTGGAACTTCGAGCAATTCGGACTCAATTCTTCCATAATTTAAAAAATATCTGCAACAAATTTTTCAAACAAAAGTTGCTGGTCAGGGATAACACTTGGCCTACCCCCAGATCTTCCGTCTTTTTTGCCGACGTCTATCCGATGGGAGGCCATGACGAACTCGGACCGATCTCCATGCAGCCAGAAACTTGGAAATAAACAATTTTAATCGCACTCGCCCCGAAGGTGATGCTGGGCTAAGCTCTTACTCAAAAGTAGATCAGAACTGGACCAAATCTCCAAAAATTCTCCCTCCTGCCTCTCGTGCAACGATTTCAGAAACCTCAGTTGAAGCTCGCAACGTAATGCCTCTAAATTCACTATTGGCTCAAACAATACTAAAATTAAAAATTATCCAATCTTAAACAAAACTTCTTCTAGCCAACTAAAACAGAGGTGATAAACGACGACTAAAATTTGAAGAATTCAGTCCCCTCTACACGATGACATACCCTTTTGCGTGCAAACCAGAAAGATATTTTCCAATCCATAACTCTTTCAAATATCGACACCCTTTAGAACTATTAGCCTCCAAACAAGCAAAACATGTGTTGAATCCCAAAAGATAGACGGAATTGCAGCTGGGCAGTCCAACCCTCTGGCCCCCAAAAGAAGCCACCTCGTGAGAAACGGAAGTAAGAACCCACCTTTAGCTGTATCAGACTCTTCAGCTAAACTTAAAAGAGCTTTGCCGTAATCGAACTAAAAGTTTAAACAATATATTAAACATTAACTCTTAAATAAGAACATTACAAATTTTTTATTTACAGTAAATTAATACCTAATAATTCTACACAACAATAATATTACCTAACAAATTCATAACATATGTATTAGTTCTAAAAATATTTCATTTTAAACCTGCTAAGGTAGCATTTGAAATAAGATATAGAACAAACACAGAGATTACTCTCCAAGAAAATAACTCACAATTCCAGATAATTATGATTTTCAGTAGAAGCAACATTTTATTGTGCTAATATTGATTTAAGTTCTCATACATACAGGCCATATTCAGAAGGGATTGCCTCGAAAGGATTTACTGAATTAAATTCACAAAAACGATTTTTTGTAATCAAATATATACATTGTGAAGCTATCTTATCTACTGTCACTGTCGTTATTTTCTTTTCTTTTTTCATTAAATTTACATATAAATTAGAACAGATGCTTGCAACGTGAAATATCTGTAGACACATCAATTTAAAAAAAAAAATATGGATTTATTAATTTCAAATACTTGTTGAGCAATTTCATGCAAAATTACTTTTTTATCAATGCTGTGCATTTTATCTTGTGTAAAAGCAAAGTCTCAGATGAAGGTATTTGACTGCAACTCTTTCTTAAAAATTTCACTTTAATGTTTGATGGACCATATAGATGCAGGGCAAGCACAAAATACAGAAAGTTTCAATTTAAAGTCATTTATGCTGTTCAATTCTTAAAATGCAGTTTTTACACTAAGAAAAGACTTGCTAATAGATATGCTTATGCTTTAAAGAAGTATCGTGCTTCATTAAATCAGCTTTATAATCAGCTTTGTTTTCAGCCCTTTTCACCAATTTTCAAACATTGGTTATTTTAAGATAAGCAATTTGAAATGCGTTGCTGAGGGCTCAAAACAGTTTACACCTGCTTTGTTATCTCAGAATTGGCAGATACCAACTTATATGCTTACATGCCTACACCTTTTTTCACATAAAATTAATTTCAATTAACACATTATAACATATAAGCGTTTACAGTTATATTATATTAAAAAGTCTTTTAAATTGCAAAAAATAGCAGATGGAAATGATGGAGTAGAAAAAATTTCACAAAATCGCACACATCATAATTTTAGTAGCACAGGTTTCTCAAAAGTAGCAGACTTGCAAAAAATCACATGATCTGGCAACACTGATTTCACATGTACAGTTTCTTAATGGATTAAATGCACCCAGAACTGATGACAGTTTGATAAAATTTATTTCCCCAAAAGCAACACTTTACAGTTCTGGAACTATCTGCAAAAATACTCATACAGCTCTTCTCACTATAACAGAGCACGATCAGTAGTTACACTTCAAACTACTAATTACATTACACACAGCACAATGCAAAGTGGGTTCAATACAGTTGCAATTATCTATAAGGCCAGACACAGCTACTCAGGCATTTAGACCAATTACAGTTATACAGGCACTGACTGGACCAAAACATTGCCAAATGGTCGCCAAGTTTGGCAACTTCTGGTGATTTTGCACCAAATTTGGTGACAAAGATTAGTTTCCAAAACCATCACCAGCTTGGTGATATCTTGCCAGTTTAATGAGATAGCCATTTATCTCAATGTTAAATGCTCTCTCTGATTTTTGGTATTTCAGAATACATGATCAAAAGTATCCAGAACTCTAGAATATTAACTCTCCTGTACGTAATCAAGACATTAATACAATATGGATTTGCAAATCTCCTTTTTACTATGATCTGCCCCTCTCTATAAATTAAATAAGCTTTTTTTTTTTCTTTTTTAATGCTACAGTTAGAAATTAAAGCCCTCACACAAGCTCTACTGCAGGGATTCTCAACCAGCGATACACGTACCACTGGTGGTACGCAAGATAAAAATAGGTGGTATGCAAAGAAACAAAGTATTTTTATCTATTAAACTCAAAAATTTCATGAAGGAAAAGATAAATTGATAGAAATTTCCTGTGATCGCTAACACTATTTTAAAAATAACCCACTCGTTAACTTTTGGCTGAAATGGAGAAAAGAATTTAAAGGCATTTCAATTAAAGCTATTATATTTTTATTGCCTTTTTGCACAACCTATTTGTGTGAACAAGGATTGTCTTCCATGTTACATTTGGAAAATAAATACAAAACAAAATTAAAAGTGGATCCTAATTTACGGTTAAAACTAAGTGAAATAACACTAGACATAAAGAAATTGATATCTTTTAAATAGGTCCAAATTTCACATTAAATTTATAATTATGTTATATCTCAAATTTTGATAATTAAAATGGGAACCATTTTTAATATTTTTTTTTTTTTTTTTTTTTTTAATGTGTGCACATTTAATAGAATAGTGAATCGGTTGTGTAAATGGCAACATTTATTTATTTATTTATTTATTTAAATATTTCTACCGGAAAATTGAAAAACAATGATTGTAAAACGTACTGGTGGTACTAAAGTTTTCCAGTTTTTGTTTAGATCGTACACCTTAGTCAAAATGTTGAGAACCACCGCTCTACAGAGTTGAGATCATGGCTCTGAGCAAGCCAGTCCATTTCTTTAACATCTCTGATAGCAAACCAGCTCTGTTTGGTATGTGCCTAATGGATAGAGGCATGATAATACTTAAATAGAAAAATGGATTTGTATAAAAACGTTGCTATACCAGCAGCATGAAATCATATAAAATAATGAGAGAGGTCTCAGGGTTTACAGTTTCCTTCATAGGAACAAGCAGCCCGAGTTTATAAGATACAATTAGCTGGCATTTTCTACCCTTCCACATATTCATTTGATTCCACATAATGCATGGAGATTCATTCATTCATTACACCATAGACTTTCCCAGAATCTCAAGATACTTTTGAACATACAGCATATATCTCAAGGCAGGATATGTAAATACTGGATTGGTAGTCACTGTCTTGTGTTTGATTGTTATTCTATAACAGCTGTAGTCAGGAATAAAGTTTTATAAAGTTCTACAAAAAAGTGTTAATAAATCTGCTGTATAAAAAAATACTTAATATACACTAGTCAATGTACATGAAATTATCATAGTATATATCATATTTTATTGTAAAGTTTGAAAAACTAAAATCTACTGTTTTAAAATTGAAAAAAATTCAAATTAGGATAAAAATTGGCTTTCTTACCTTACGGCTTGTATAATGCTTATGAGCAGCAAGCTTAATATCCATTGCATCCAGTAACATCTACAGAAATGATATTAGTTTTAAAATAAGTTTACATATTCAATAAATTCTTTACAACAGAGAGATGAATTTTTAAAAAATTCTTTAAATTTATTAAAAAAATTTACAAAGTATGTGATTATTTAGATTGAATAATTATTAAATATATATAATTTTCCATCTGCATAAAATCTGCAATGGTTCAGAAATATTTATAATTTAGAAAATGAAAATATATACTCCTACTTTTCTAGAACTTTCATCAATTTTACTAAAATTCATTCTCTTCTCATACAATATTTTAAATATCCATAACATTAATGTTTATCCCACACAAAATATCATGTATACAGGTTTTAGGAAATTATTATGCATGGTGCTGATGATGATCAAATGATAGGTTAAATCAAGAGGCTTTCAAACAATTCTGACTAAGTGACGTGAAACAAAGTACTACCCATTTAGTACAGTCTACTCTTTAAAAGTGATAGAAACTGATAGATACTCTGCAGAGAAACTTAAAATGTGAGCTTGAATTTTCGCTTATGTATGCAGATAATTGCTCATAATAAGCTTATATGTTGTGGTGTTGCTATGGGAATGAAACAACCAATAAGATGAAATGCTATGAAATGTTATGCTGCTACTGAAACAACACACGTACTTTCAGTTTTAAAAATAATTTTTATTTGCAGAGTGGCAAAATGACGCAGCAGTTCAGTTTTCTTGTCGAAGTCTCATTATGTTATGTTTAAAAAAGCTTGTATTTTTATAAATGTGTCTTGCCTCACGATGAAACAACCACATTGGTGACCAACACTGGATAAGTGCATCTTTTTGGTCGTTTGGTGGGATTTGGACAAAAACGGAGTGGTGAATATACCTCTGGTTCCGATTTGTCTCTGTGGTTGACAATGGTGGAATCTACTTTTGAACTAGCGATTCCAAAGGCTATAACAGAATCCAGAACCAATTATAATCACTGTGTGGTGAACCTACCTCCCGACATCGAGCATCATTTCTCCTGATAAATCGTATTCATACGGGAAACTGAAAAATGAAATCATCGCTCACTAGGGTGAAAGTAAACAACAGGAAATCCGTTGTTTACTCGCTCGTGAGCAACTAAGGGATTAAAAGACATCTGAACTCTCACGTGTTATGCAGCAACATGTGGAAAATCATCATAAGTAATCATATTATCATATCATAATAATAATAATGTGGCAGGCATGCTTGTTTTGAATTTATTTCTAGAGCAATTACCTATGAATGTGCGGTCTATTTCAACATCAATCACCCCTCGAACCACACAAAAGTCTGCTAAAATAACAGATAAAATAATGGCAGTGTCATAAGCTCAGGTAAGCATAGTTTCTGATACCTGTGCATCATCTAGTGTTACACATTGAACTCTGAACTGCTTAAAAAGATGGAATTGCTTTGCAAGGAAGTTGCATCTCTATGACACAGGAGAAGTCATTCTCGTAATCGTAATTTTTGTCATATTACAAATCGTGAGAAATCCTATGAAAAATATTACTTTTGCTGGTACCACCAAAAATTTGCTTATAAAGCATAAATGTGTACTACACTCTACAATTTTCAGGGAAATTTTCAGGGCTAGTAGCAGTGGCGACATACGCCTCGCCTTCTAGTTCTAGTCACCTATTTGTTTGCAATTGCAAAAACAATATTAACTTTTTAATCGATACAGATAGTGATTGTCCATCAATTTCAGCCTTGAAATCTTATAAAATTACTACCCCTATTCAAACTTTTCTAGCAGCAAATGGTGCTAAGATAAATAAATGTATATAAACAAAAGTTATTATCTTTAGATTTAGGTTTAAGAAAACAATTTGTCTATCCCTTTTATGTATGCAATGTTTGAACTGCTACAACTGGTGCAGATTTCCTACATTATTTTAACCTCCAACCAGATCTTGGAACCAGTCATTCAAACGTTACTTGCACCAAATTAAATTCTCATGGTATATTGCATGTTGCTAGCAAATATTTTGTGAAATCTGTATTTTGTAATAAAAATTATTCTAAGTTGTTAAATTAATTTCTTTGCTTTGCTCAAGATCCATGTGCAAACCAAACTGTCAAACATTCAGTTCAGCATCATATTAAAACTTTTGGCTCTCCCATTTTTGCCAAATCACGTCGGCTTACACCCGATCACTTGAAAATTGCTAAAATGTAACTTCAGCATATATTGGATTTAGGCCACATTCGCCTACCCAACAGCAATAACAGTTCATCACTGCATATGGTCCCTAAAAAGATATGAATGATTATAGTGCTCTGTTGATGATTTTAGAGCTCTTAATGTTCAGACCAAAAAGTACAAGCATCCAATCCCTAGTATTATTTATTTTACTAGTGAACTCCATGGGTGCAACATATTCTCCCATGTTGATTTAGTCAAAGCATTTCATCAAACTGCAGTTGCTCCTGAGGAGTCCATAAACTGCTATCTGTACAACTTTGGACTTTTCCGAGAGCATTCGTATACTATTTGGTTTGCGCAATGTATCAGGCACTTTTCAAAGGTTTATCGATGAGGTGACAAGAGGTTTCAATTATGCATATGCATACATTGATGATATTTTGATTGCCTCAAAAAGAAAAGAACATACTCAACTTCTACAATTTCTCTTTAAAAGATTACATAATTATGGTTTAGCAATCAAACCCTCAAAATGTATATTTGGAATTCCTACCTTAGATTCCTTAAGATTTAAACTCTCTAAAGAAGGTATTTCTCCAATTCCAGATAAAGTTGATGCAATTTCTAAATTTCCTAGACCTCCAAACCTAACACAACTTTGCAGATTTCTTGGCTTATTCAATTTTTATCACAGATTTGTGCCACATGCAGCATACATTTTGCCCCCTTTAATTAAGTTTCTCAAAGGTCATTCTAACAAAAAGAAATCATTCCGTCCAACTAAAAAGACCAAAAATTCTCACCAGTGGTCTGAGGAAACCAAAAAGGCATTTTTAGCAGCTAAGTTCTGTTCTAACAGTACAGTCAAAAGTTGTTAATCCGGACTCGTCGGGACTTCGGTGATTCCGGATTATCGATTTTTCCGGATTATAGATCATCAGTTTAAATCTGGTAAGATGGCATGCAGAAATTACAAAATTAAAAATATGAAACCGTAATTTATGAAATAAAGAACAATTATGATCTAAAGGGTATCAAAATTTACAAAAAGAAAAAGCTTAATATTTATTTGTTTACTTTATTAAACATTTCTTTCAATGTAAGTTGCTTCGTTTCATGTGATAATACTTTCTCTTTAATTCTATTAAACAGACATAATTTCTTGTTTAGTTACAAAGTTCTGCTGTTCAAGTCCTATAATTGCTGTGTTGTTTTCGTTTTCAATAACCTGTGGGTCACTTTCTTCACTATCGGAAGCGAATTATAATGACGAGGAACTTGATTTAAATCATATCAAAGACTGAGTACATCGAAATGAAATACTACACTTAGTAAGGAATTATAAGCCAAATAAAATAAAAACATCTGCCCTGAAGATAAGGATAGTGCTGACAGATCAACTTCCAATCCGCGGTGTGAAATTGATAAACAGATTTCGGATTTCAAAACATACTTTCGCTTTGTAGATACAAATTACATATTAGTAAATATATATCGGAAATTCTGTTTGACATAATCGAAAGTTCAAGCTTACTTTTATGAAACTGCTCTAACAGTCCGCAAAAAATAATAAGCCGGATCCAATTCGAAGATTAAGGAACAACGCAATATGCAACATTAACTGAATTAAATAATTTTTGCTTAGATTATACTGTTCGTTACACATTAAACGCGCATGCGCAGAAACATATTCGCATCCGTAAAGGTCTTACGCGCACTCGTAAACGCCGGTGCGCGTGCGTGAACGCTACGCATGCGCAGAAAGTTTGTAGCTTTGAGGTCCGGATTATAGATCATTCCGGATTATGGGTGTCCGAATTAACGACTTTTGACTGTATTACTTTCTTTGAAACTGACTAAGAGTCAATGGAGATGGTCTACACATGACCGTGAACTTTTGGTAATATACGAATCTATCAGGAAATTGCAGCATATGTTAGAAGGTCACAACTTCATCATATTTACCGACCAAAAAATACCAACATTTGCTTTCGGACAAAAAGCAGAAAGGTGCTCTCCTTGACAACTGAGACATCTACATTATATCTCTCAATTTCCCCCTGATATACAATATGTTAAAGGTTGTGGAGACATTAGGTTATTTTTGGAGCAAAAGAAGTGAAAAATGAGCAATGCCCTCGTCGGGAATCAAACCACGGACCTCTCGAATACGCGCCGAGCGTGTTGACCACTACAGTATGAATGCATGCCAAGAAGGCAGGAGAAATATCTTATATACTCCCCCTTTTAACTTTTTAAAGGGTACCAGTATATAAAATATATCAGATGTTTGTCAATTTTTTAACCTCCTAAAAAATGCTAATTTTTCTACACCAAAAGCTGTAATCATAAGATTCTACTGCTTCCTTTTGATTCAAAATGGCAGCAGTACCATATGAATGCTCAATATTTTGCAGCTATGAAATTAATATACCTCTTTCGAAGGTATGTTCAAATATTCATAAATTTCATTGGAGGGCAGGGAAAAATTCACAACCTTCAAATATATGATGCACACATGCTGAACCTTTTATATTTACTGCAATGCAATCAAAACTGATAATTAAAAGAAGATTATGTTTTTAATACCTACTGAGGGTAAATTGCCAATAGATGGCAGCAACAGGTTTCCCCTTCTGTACTCTGTGAGATGACAGAATTTCTTTACATTATAATAGTTAATGATAAATATTTGTTTATGATTAATTTACAAATTGTTTAGGATTCAATATTATGTTCATGGGGGTATAAGAAGTTTACATACCCTGTCCTAGGACTGAATGCAAATAAATTAGTTTCTTTTTATTATTTGTTTACACCACTCGAGTTTCTCATTCGTCACTGTTTAGCTTATTTTAATTTCAGCACTTCACCCTTTCTCACGAGAAAGACTCGTCTGGTGTCAGTGGCATGTTAGTCTCCAAAGACACCCTTGTTTTGTGTTTTCCAGTGAAAATGAAAAGAGGTGACGGACAACTATTTTGCCATGCAGGGGTCACACCATCTTCACAAAGGGACTGTGATAACATCACATAAAGGGAAAGCTTGCTTAAATGGAAATGCACATTAGGTCCATTTCTTAGTGCAGTGGAAAAACTGCTGATTTGAAAGCATGCTTTTATACTTTAGGTCTTTGTTAATTTCAGATGACAGACTAAGGAATACAAGAAAATGTTTTCCCTGGGTTAGGATACAAGTACGTGGTTTAGTCTTCACAGCTGGTGACACAAGGGAAATAGTTCGAATGCCACTGCAGAGACATTAGGTTGTTTTTTTGAAAGCAGGAAATATGAAAAATGAGCAATGCCCTCGCAGGAAATCGAACCACGGACCACTCGAAAACGAGCCGAAGGCAGGAGAAATACCTTATAAGGTAGGGAAAATGTACTGATGACACACTCTCCTGAACAGAAGCAGAACAGATCTTCTTCTTTGAAGCTCTCTACACAGTATTTCCCTCTTGAAGATATTTATCGCTACTGTTACTCCACAAAAGATGTTTCTCGTCCTTTCTATTCCGTTTCATTTATACTTATCTCGCAAAGTATTCACTACCTTTCACATCCAAGTATATCTGCCACTTCAAAATTCATACTCAAACGTTACATCTGGCCTAACATAGATACTTCTATCAAAAATTCTGTGAAGGCTTGTGAGAAATGCCAACGTTCAAAGATGCACAAGCATACAAAATTCCCCATTTTGACGTTTTTACTTCCCGATACCAGATTTTCTCACATTCATTTCGATTTTTTAGCTCATTATCAATTTCTGAAGGTTATTCATGATTGCTTGACCATAATTGATAGTTTCATGCAATGGCCTGAAGTAATTCCCATGTCTGATATGTCAGTTGAAACAACTTAATTAGCTCTAATTAGTGGATGCCCTTCATCTATCACTACCAACGAGAATTTAAACTTTGAAACTCATCTTTTCAGTGTATCCATGCACCTGCTGGGCACTCATTATATTTGTACCACTGCTCAAAGCAAATGGTATCACTGAACAATTCCCTTGCCAGCTCAAAACCAGCATAAAAGCACAAGAAAACCCTCGCTGGACAGAATTGTTACCTTTTATACTTTTGGGTATTCAATCTTCTGTCAAAGACGACACCCAAGCAACTTGTTCCGAATTAGTCTATGGTATAACCTTAAGGCTAATTTCGGATATCTTGTGCTCAGATCAGCTTTCTCCGCCATACCCGACACCTGTCAATCATTTGCGATCTATAATGCAATCTCTGATACCCACTGCAACATTAAAACACTGTTCAAAACCTGTCCACATTCATTCATCCATAAAATCATGTTCTAATGTTTATTTGAGAATTGACGCAGTCAAGTCTTCTCTTGGACTACCATACTCAGGTGCCCATCCTGTCATTGAGTGACATGATAAAACTTTTATCATCTCTGTGCATGGTAAGAATCAAACTGTTTCAATTAAGACTCCAACCTGCATTATTTATTAGTGATAAAACTTTAGTCCGTAACACTAAGTAAGTGGCACACTAAAGAATACCATGTCAACTATTCCTAAAATTTCCATAATTATAACTTGTATAATTTCAATTATATATAGATATATATTTGTATAGTTCGGTCTCCCTCACTGAAACAACAAATAAGATGAAATGCTATGTTGCTATGGAAATCAACATATACTTTCAGTTTTAAAAATACAGTAATTTCCGGAAGAAACGCCATGGCGTTTACGAGTTTAAAACTTAAATTTTAGGTGCACTAAAAATAAAATATTTCCTATGATGGTCATTGTACATAGTTTGGATGGCCTTGTCATTGTGCATATATTGGTGCTGTTCCCACACAAAAGACCACTCAGTTGCTTTTTGCGAACGTTATTTTGTTTACGTTCTTTCCCTTGAACGAACCTACATGCCTTATTCACCCTAAACGAGATCTCAGAACAATAACATTCTTCCCCCTTTCAAATCAACATTCTCATCAGTTTGAATAGTCTCTCTCCTCTGCCATTCGACGAATCTTCCAGGACCCATCCTCTTTCCACCCCTGCCTTTTCTGCAATTTTTTTCAAAGGCGGACACGACTCCACCTGCCTCGCAATAACGAACTCCCACGTATTTCCCCTTCAGCATGAATGGATTTTTCTTGGCATTCTGCCAAATACAGATCCCATCAGTTAGGGTACAAGTACTTGTTGGATAGTTTTTAATTAGGGAGCGGAAAATTTTTGAAAATGTCTCTAAACGGCACAGAAGCTATACATTTCTTACCTTTAATTTATTTTTGAGTTATGATTTCATTTCGTGCATTTTTCTTAACTGGTATGTCATATATCAGGACTTAGGTTGAGTTTTTGCATCTATACGGCCCACGACGATGTCACGCGCAATTTAATCTGTTACGGCGTTTACGCTGATGCGATGTTTCTGTGCAATTTTAATTTTTTTCCCGCCATTTTTCTCAAGTGCGGCATTTACGCTGATGCGGCCTTTCTTCCAGAAATTATGGTAATCTTTAATTCACAGAGTGGCGAAATGATGCAGCAGTTCAGTTTTCTCATCAAAGTGTCATTATGTCATGTTTAATAAAGTTTATATTTTTATAAATATGTCTTGCCTCACTATGAAACAACAACAATGTTAAGATTTTAATGATTCATAGAAATTTCATATAAACTAGTCCACACTCTGTGCATAAATTCTGATACCCAATGTATTCATAGAACAATATCCCATTATCTACTCCTTTCACAACCAAGATCAGCATTTTCTGAATTAAAATGCTTAAAAAGACCTACATAAATCTACATGCTACTCTAAAAAAAAAAAAAAAAAAAAAAATATTTTTCATAAAATATTTTATACATATATGGGCTGAAGAGAATAGTTTCATCACATCAGTACTAACATCCCTTTTATTCAGATATAAAATTTATATGTATTAACTTTAAGAAATTCATTCTAAAATGGATTGAACAATATTTGCATAACAGTATTATGTAACTACAAATTTACAAATACATGTTAGTTTTTGTTAACAACTGCAGGAATTAAAATCTTCCTTTAACATTAATGAAAACACATGAAGAAAATATTCAAGTTCAAAATATAAGGTGCAGAAAATATTTGGCAAAAATTTATTATACTACACCTCATCTGTAATTTTTCCAACACTCAGACATGCCTCATCAGCTATTGCAAATATCCCTTTATGTGGTTCATCCATTAAAGTGCAGATGACAGCATTATTAAAATACTCTACATTCTGCCAAGTGATTCCTTCCCTTCGATACTCTTCTTGCTCTTGCTTTAGAACAAGTTCAATAAACAACTGCTGTAGCTTTTCATTGCAATAGTTGATGCAAAACTGTTCAAAACTAAAAACACAAAATATTTCTTAATTAGTGCTAAATTTGTTACTTAAATTGTATCACAAAGGAAAAGAACCATAATTGGCAAAATAAATCACAATCTCTCATATTCATTGCCTAAGCTGAAATACAGTAAAACAAACATTGCCAAGGAAACACTTTGCACATCAGACGATCAAACTTGCTATATACATGCTTCACTTAACTGATACAGATACCATAAATGAATTAAAATTGAAAAACTTTGAGCTTATACTTTATCATATGTGTCTCATATAATTAAAAACCATTTTAACTACTGGTATTGGGTTAATAGCATTAAGATGAATTCTAAACATGTTTGAAGGTTATTCATGATTGCTTGACCATAATTGATCGCTTCATGCAATGGCCTGAAGTAATTCCCATGTCTGATATGTCAGTTGAAACAACTTAATTAGCTCTAATTTGTGGATGCCCTTCAACTATCACTACCAACGAGGGTTTAAACTTTGAATCTCATCTTTTCAGTGTGTCCATGCATCTGCTGGGCACTCATTATATTTGTACCACTGCTCAAAGCAAATGGTATCATTGAACGGTTCCATTGCCAGCTCTAAAACAGCATAAAAGCACAAGAAAACCCTCGCTGGACAGGAGTCAATTTTCTCTTCTCTATTATTTACTATTATTCACAGATGAAAAATGATATGAAGGCAATTTTATAAATTTAACCCTTAGAGCGGTATGACCGACTGCTTATAATTTAAGATATTTTGCCTTCTTTTTACTTCCTTATACAAAGTAAAAAGGAAGTATTATAATCGCGAAAAGTTTCAGGCAGCATATTTCAACGAAAATATCCATTTTGACACTATTGAGTGCAATTTAACAATGTTTTCGCATGCCATCTGTTCATACAAACAGAATAAGACTCCAAAAAATTACAAAATTTCCTCCAAAAAAATTACAAAACTGCTTTAAAATGAATTCTGAAAAGAATTTTTTGTGGCATCTTTACGTACGTATGTATCTCGCATAACTCAAAAATGAGTAGTTTCAGAACATTGAAATTTTGTACAGTCAAAAATTAATCCTTTAATCCGGACTTCGATGATTCTGGATTATCAGTTTTTCTGGATTATAGATCATGAGTTTAAATCTGATAAGATGGCATGCAGAAATTATTAAAAATATGAAACCATAATTTCTGAAATAAAGAGCAATTATAATCTAAAGCAGGGTTTGTAGCCACATTTTAGTTACAAAAAAAAGCACTTTTCAAACACATTTTAAGGAAAAAATAAGCACCTGTCTAATTACATTATACACAACTGCATAACCTTAAAAGAAAAATTAGACTTGTAATTTAAAATATGAGAAAAGCAGTATTTATTAAGAGGAGCATTACCTCAACCATGGAAACATTTTTTTTTTTTTTTTTTAATTTTAAATAACAGTTCCATTTACAGAGCTGGTTTAAAATGAATAAGATTTAATGATGAAATTTCAGTTCAAAATATAGAAAATAAATAAACCATATTTATTGTATTCGCTTGGCACCTAATAATAAATACAATTTATTTTCCACTCAATATTAATAATTAAATTATTGAACTTAAATCAAAATTCTGAACATTTTCTAAATTTTCACTGTATAACAGTTTTCCCTTAACAGATATTGCAAGCAAAGTAATTTAAGTAAGAAAGAGGAACATTTCTGAAATCAGAAGACGGGAAATTGCTTCATGCAGTCATTCATCCTTTCATAGTAAAAGCTTAACTAACCCACATACTCGGAAATTGCCGAATATTTAGGATAGTCAAGCTTAACTGGAAAAAGAGGAGCGGGAGGGGGGTAGATTGTAACCACGGTTCTTTAGATTTTTCGGTTAAATAAATGCTTTTGGCATTTCAATATGTGCATCATATAAAAATAGACCAACAGAACTGAAAAATATTCTGCTTAGCAAGCACAGTAAAACCTTTTTAAGTGTTCGTAAAACATACCTCACACTGAACATCAAAATGCAAATCTACAAAATATCGCAAACGTTATTGCGCAATACGTGCACTGTAATTCTTCCGTTTGTGATATTATGCAATCGGAATCAACAGCTGCCGGTATTCGGAGAATAAAGAACTAAATAAAGGAAAAGAAAGAGACTTACTAATCTGGGGTGTTTTTTATTCCAATTTTGAACAGACTGCGTTAAATTTCCAGAATATATTTTTCGCTTAAGTTGGCAGACCGCAGAACTTTTAGTTCTATTCAATCCAGATTGGAAAGTGATAAAAAAAAAAGGTCCGTTGCTTGTTTTGCAGCGTACTGTAACGGTTTCAATATTCGAGATTTTGCAGAGAAAGGAGAGAACCTCCCAACCTCTGTACTGTATAATGTATTGGTAAAAAACAAAATGAAATTATTCTGACTATTCGATTACTTTCCTTTTATTTAAGCCATTCCAAATATTATTCCTTAGAAAGCTAATCTGTGTTATAACACACTTACCCATTTTTGAAAGTTTATATTACAACTATATAGATATTCATATATATGCTCAGAATATAAGCATAACGATTGTAATAAATGTGAATATGAACTGACCACGCAGAACGAGAATGCAAATTATTAAAATCTTGATAAATATTCAAATGTGTGTAGTATTTGGGTGGGAGGAAAAGAATACCGAATGTACCGGAATTTTTTGTACAGCTTTCGCAATTCTTTGACCAATAAAACGTCGTGCACCTGTCTGTACTCTTGCGCTCACCAAAGGTTACATTAATGCAGAGAAAGGGGGAACAGCTATTTCCAGGAGTATGATTCACCATCTGACATTCCATATAAGGAAGAAAGGTTGTTTATTTAATTGTGACACACAATTCGAACTCCGGATGGGTAAGGACCAACATGATATCCCTGAGGAGTCCGAAGAACTGTATATTCGCGAATTAAAACCACCAGCAGTAAGTGAAATATGTGCACTTATTAACACTTATGAGCCATTAGATGTCATCAATAATTATTCATCTTACAACAAATTGCTAAGAGTAGTGGCCTGGTGCAAGAGATTCTTGCATAACACCAGGCATCCATTGCACGCTACACACGGAACAACCAGTGAACTTTCTAGTGTGTTACTGTGTATTGTGAAAAACGTTCAAAGGACTTTATTTGTGACAGAAATCCAGTGCTTAGAAAGGGGTGCTCCTATTCCTAATAGTAGTAAACTATTGAATTTGTGTCCCTTTTTAGATCATGATGGAATACTCAGAGTGGGTGGCAGACTGAAAAACAGTGACTTAAATGAAATGAGAAAACATCCTATGATTCTGCCAACTAAACGTAATTTTACTGTAATTGATTAATCATTTTTCATGTTCTTTATTTCATTGCAGGTGCTGTGCTGAAACAACCCTATCAACTATAAGGAGTAAATTTTGGATTGTTTCTGCATATTTTATTTTCAAATATAAGGACTTATAAGCACTTGTAAGGACCACTATGAACCCTGTATAGGGTATTAAAATGTACAAAAAAAAAAAGCTTAATATTTATTTGTTTATTTTATTAAACATTTCTTTCAATGCGCGCATGCGTAAAGCATACATTACGCATAGTCGATCATATACATTACGCATGTTTCATTTAGCAGATTGCTTTGCTTTAAAAACTTGAAACTTTAAAACCAAATAAACTTAGGCAAAGAGAAAGTTTTTTTACAATAATGCATCAAGACACTCAGATATTAATAGTTTAATGACAATCTTGGCACAGTTTAGTGACTTTTTACGGGAGAAAAAGAGTGATTACTGAAAATTACAAAAAATTATTACATGCATATATGTTTTACATTTTAATTAGGCACTTAACCCAAAACTAAATCAATAAACCTACTAATAAGCACTTTTTCGTTTTGTTTGTCCTGGCAAAAATTTCATGGCAATCACTTTAAGAATACATTCAAGGCAATTTTATGGCAAAATACTGTATTGCTAGAAAAATGTTTATTGCAGTTTCTTCCACCGTAAATAAATCCCAGTAGCACATACTTTAAAATTTAGTTTAAAGAAAAAAAAAAAAAAAAATGTCATTTGTTTACAAAACTGTTGAACTTGGAATACAATAAAAGAATGCATGTGAAAAAGATGGCATTGCTTGTTAAAATTGAAGAATTGTTATGTTTGGCAAATTTTGAAAATTTTGCAACTTCTAAGGCGGTTGCATTAACAGGTACTGCATCAGATCATAAATGTACTAATATGTATTAGTCCTATACATAAAATAAAAATGTGAACTACAATATATAAATTTCAAACAGCATGCAGAAGTATCATTATAGAAAAACAAGGTCACAACTAGCCTTGGACTAAAAACATGCTTTTGATCTAGGTCCAGAGGTGTCCAAACGGTTTTGCTTAAGGGCTACTTTTCAGTTCCTGCTGTGTCTTAGCATCTGGTGCTTTATGTTTGGGAAAAAACAATTTGATGAAAGTACTTGATTTTATTGGATTCCCCCCCTAAATAATAAGGAAAATTAATAGAAACCTACAAAAAAAAAACTGAAGAAAATCCACTTATAAAACATAAATGTAGTATAGGTTCAAATCAATTTTATTTCAAATGAGAAAATAAAGACAAGCACACATTAAGAAATTAAATAAAAATTAATACAAAAAATGTAAATGTTAAATTGCCAAATAAAATCATTAAGTCATTAACCTTTTGAAGATGGGATGGCCATTATAGTGGCCATAGAGTCCTCTCTTTGAAAAGACAGGGTTGTCCACTTTAGTGGCCATGTCTTTTTCCCTCATTTTCCAGGCTGAAAAGTGGGGTGAAATGTCAAATTTGACATCCCTGGGGTTTTAACCACTTATCTCTTTCAAAGGTCTTTCTTTTTGCAACATAGATACACACCTCTGAGATTCCATTAAACTACACACAAGAATCTTTGTTGCAAATAGGAGGTGATTTCTTAAAGGGCAGAAAGCATTCGGTTCGATTCCCCGTCCTTTGGTAGCTTTTACTGCTACCAAAGCCCTGGCCTCAAAAGGTTAAATTGCTATTAATGAGATACTTGATTATTAATATTCTCTGACAACTTATTAAAATTTGGCGTATATTCTGCTGCACAGCATGATAGTACCATGCTGTTTTTCATATGCTTGGAAGTCCACATATTCCTTTACTTGCTTTTTATTACTATAAGTTATGAAGAAGCCTGCTCACAGAGGTATGTTGCAAAAAATGTTTTCACTGTTAGCACATACCTTAAGCATGCTCTAGTATTTAGCAGGGTCCGTTAATTCAATAACTTCATAATTTTCATTTTCTGTGATTTTGAGTGTTATATCAGTACAAAGAGAAATAATTCAATCTCCGATTTGTTAATAAAGCAAAATGTTTCCATTAACAAAATTACTTTTTAATTCTTGTTGAAGGAATGTGCAGTTCATTTGTTTGCCATCTAAACATTAACTGGCAATAATCAAATACTAAAGTAGAATCAAAGTTTTTTACCTCATTAAGGGATAATTCAAAAGCTTAATATGAGAAACACAGTTAAAATGTAAAAACATATTTATTGTTATCTGTACAAATGATGACACAAGTACTATCAACTCACCATAGCACAGTGTAATAAGTTATGTAAGACAGAGTTTACATTTTCAGTTAATAGGGCAAAGGTAATGTCAGGTGTGTAGAATAGTTTTTAACTGTGTTATACATATCTTGCTCTCCAGCGTGTTCTGCAACAGTTAGCAATGCTTCTTTTATGGAGAAGTTAGGAAATACCATTCTTGTCAACATCAGAAGTTGCAGTCAGTAACATCAGTGGGTTCATCAAACTAAAAGTATGCACATTTTCTCCAAATCAGATCTCATAGGTATGTAGATGTTGTTCTCTATATTGTCCATTCGTCATGCCACTGTATTTCGTGACAGAGCTACATCAGTTTATAGCCGAGATTATTTTATTCTTACTATGTTCATGAAATAAAGATTTTGACATTGCCAGCATGGCTTCCTCCACAATAGCCCTGTCTGATTATGCAATTTCATGTGATGGGAGAATGTAACTTACTTTGAAAAATGCTTCTGTGTGATTCTTCGCTTTATTTTTTAGGGTGAAAAACAGGTTTGTTAAGCTTTTAGAGAAGATTTCAATGATTTATGTCCACATAAAGCAGACCTAAGTGGATATTTACTACTGAAATCCTTATGAATGGTTTTATGCTGATGTTCAACATTCAACAGCTTTAATACCATTACTGAAGCATTGCATAATAAACAGTTCTTTCATTAATGTCTGTAAATCCCAGCTCTTCCTCTTCCTCATTGTTGAAGTGGCACATTTATGTTTTCTTCAATGATTCTAGCATGTCACTGATGTTGACAAGCATAACACAAAATGTACGAAATAGTTAAAGTGTTATTTTATAACTTGCCAGAAACAAAGCAGTTTGATAACTGATACCACAAACTTTAACAACTTATTTCAACTGAACTGATAACTTTTGGCCACATGGATGATTTATCATTTGTGCAGATGTCCAAAGGTGACAGCAGCGAACAGGTCTTTTATTAAAGCAGGCACTCTAACCTTAATCCATCATACATATAAAATCACAGAAACAGGACACAGTGATGGTGATAACACGAGTAGTTGAACACAATGCAATGCCCTGCACATGATATGTAATTGTATCTTTTCCACATACTTGTTTTTTACATTAGGATTACAATAAAAATTTTTGGTCTCATGGCAATATTATGACTCCGGCTGGCAGGCACCTAAAGATAGAACTGTGAGACCAGTTGGCCACCACTGATTTACTTATTACAGAACGAGGTTACAAGGGAAAAGTCTGCAATTCAATGCTTGGCAGAAATTTGGCATCTCCTGCTTACATAGATCGATGATGGCACTACCATCAGCACTGAGATCACAAACTGGTTTAAGAAAGAAAGAGATTAAAAACAAGTGTACACTAAATGGCTGCACTGTCAAAGTTGAATTCCTAAAACTCATCACAGATGTTCATTATTATTTATGTATAATGTTGCAAATGTAACAATATTATGAATGTTTTGTATGGTATGTCTCAGAATAAGATTTCTCGCTTTCTAGAAATTTATTTAATAAAAGTGCAACATGATACAAAAAAATTAAATTACAGAAGTATAATAGCTTATTCAAAATTTATTTTAAGAATTAAATTATTTTAAGAATTAAAACTTTAAAATGAATAATTAACATTATGTAGCTTTGGGATTATGCTTATATTAAATGAAAAAAATTGGTGTATTTCAACTGGCAAAAGAGAAGCAAAATGCATAAAATATACTTTAGTGGAACGGAACATCATAAAAATTGTTGATAAATACTAAATATATGAATTATTTGTTGTCTCTTGAAACCTATAAATTAAAAGAGGGGCTTTCAAACTAGGTATCTGTATTAATGTACAATGTCTTTGTATCACTTAGCATTGAAGTGAACCAAACAGGTAATACGAACTCAAACCTGTATAGAAAACTGTCAATTGGCGAAAGACAGTCTAAAATATTGAACCTCAGTCCCCATGTCTGTGTTGGGGCCTGTTCTGTCTTTCTTAAGCCGTTATAATGTACCCAATTACCTTATTTTTTCTCATTAAATTTCATTGTTATTTGCTATATGTCTATCTCAATTAAGATTGCTGTTTTTTTAGTTAAAGCTATTGATTCTCTCTTACGCATGTGTTACTCACATCTACCTCAGCATCTTTTATATTTCTTCACCCAAGAAACTAAAAATATGACCTGCTACAAATTTATAAGAGCTATAATCAAGATAATTAGTTATCATGTCACATGCAACAACTTTTTAAAATAAAAGTATTGTGTATATTTTTTCTTACCTGTTAGTTTCAAATATTTCAAATCCATATATGTCTAAAACACCCATCACTGTATTGTTCTTTTTCAAGCTGTGACCATTGGTCTCTACTTCAATGGATTCATTGATACGTGACACAATAAAGGAAAATAATCTGTCATAGATAGCCTACAATAAAACAGACACATTTTGATAAGGATTACAAAAAATATTCCAGTATGATGGTAGATCTCATAGCCTAGCAGATTTCAACTTTTTTCTCCTTTAAAAAGACATAATATCTATTTTATACAGAAAAGGAAAAAGCGAAAGATTATTAACTCTTTTAATGCAGCTGAACCAAAGCAATTTCTCTTGTTCTCAATATATGTAAAGAAAGTAGCATGTTTTCATTATTTGTAAGAACACATCCGAAACTCACGATGAAACAGACCTATTTCAGGAAATATAAGCATAGAAGTAATTTCATTATACCACACTCACTAGATTTCTTTAAAATGTATTAAGTAAATTAAGTAAAACAAACTAGCCCAAAAAATTAGGTGTCAAAAACAAAGTTTTATTTTTATAATTATCAGAAATGTATTAAATAAAAGTACTGATAAAATAATCAATAGCCATTTAAATAATGGTACCATTTAAATCACAGAAACTATCTCTTCTTCATAGCTATGCATCATTAAAGGAGAACATTTACTTTCTATTCAAATATCTATATCTTCATCTTTTTCTACAGCATCTTGATTTCTCCAACTTGTTTGATCCAAAATATCAATATTTTTTTATTATTTAAGTTCTTTGGAAGACCTGTATACACTTCACAATATGAAAGGAAAAGAAATAGAATTTATTTAAAGAAATAGAAATTTTTGTCTAAGTTTTACAACCTAATTTACTCCTTATAGCAATAATTCCTACATTTTCTTAAATTCCTTACATAATTTTTTTTTTTTTTTTTTTTTTTGTCACAGCAATGATTTCAAACTCTGAATTGAAAACACACTTAACTAATTATTTATAATCTTGTGACATAATAATTTACATTTTTTATTTTATGCACATTTTATTGATATTAACTATGTATTCTAACATCCAAGCTTCAATTATCATAGTTCTCCAGATGGACACACTGTTCTTGTTAGCAATGATCCTTCAATGCAGCAATTTGGATTTGTTATACAGTCAAAAGTCGTTAATTTGGATACCCATAATCCAGAGTGATCTATAATCCGGACCTCAAAGCTCCAAACTTTCTGCGCAAGTGTCGTGTTGTACGGCGGCGCACAATGAATTGGAAGTTGATCTGTCAGCACTATCCTTATCTTCAGGGCAGATGTTTTTATTTTATTCGGCTTATAATTCCTTACTAAATGTAGTACTTCATCTCGATGTACTCCGTCTTTGATATGATTTAAATCAAATTCCTCCTCATTATGATTAGCTTCCGATAGTGAAGAAAGTGACACAGAGGTTATTGAAAACGATTGACAAATTAATCGGTATTCTGGACACAGCAATTATAGGACTTGAACAGCGGAAGTTTGTAACTGAACAAGAAATTATGTCTGTTTATAGAATTAAAGAGAAAATATTAGCACAAAAAACGAAGTAACAAACAACTTACATTGAAAGAAATGTTTAATAAAGTAAACAAATAAATATTAAGCTTTTTTTTAAAATTTTGATACCCTTTAGATCATAATTGTTCTTTATTTCATAAATTATGGTTTCATATTTTTAATTTTATAATTTTTGCATGCCATCTTACCAGATTTAAACTGATGATCTATAATCTAGAAAAATGGATAATCTGGAATCGCCGAAGTCCCGATGAGTCCGGATTAATGACTTTTGACTGTATTATGGGTATTTCCCTGATATTCTTAAAAATAAAGCAATTAATTAATATGAACACTCTAGTAATATAGTAATGTCTGACCTTCAAGTAACAGACCTTTCAGATGTGAATAGAACCACGCATAAATAATTTTCAATACACATTAATTTGTTTTCAGTTTATTTTTAAAAACAGTATTGGTAAAGGGAGAAATTTTTTGTTGCCTACATTTTGATAATGTTTGTTTAATCCATTACAGCAAAGCATTCAAGGGTTATCGATGTAATAGAAGAAATTCATTCTTGGAGAATTTTATGAAGAAAACTGCCTTGTATTCACATTACACACATGAAAAGAGCCATGCAGCCTCTGTTTACTAAAACATTGTTGTTCGCTGCCACGCCTATCGAATTAATTTCTACCTTTTCGTTGCCCTGCGTTGGCAACATGCTTTTGAGATTTGTCGTTCGTAGGATTCGGTCGCTAAAAGCGTAGCTGGCCTGTAACAGTTGTAATTATTATTTTATGCTTATCTGTACTTCTGAATTATTACTAAATGTTTACGTGTGAATGTTATATTATTAAATGTATTCAGTTTGGTTGAAATAGACCGAGAGTGACTGAATTTATTAAGTATAATCAAAGTCGAAACTGCGTCATCCATGTCGGCGCCATTCTAATACAAGGTACGTAAACATCATTTGGAGGCACGCCGACGAGATCATATCAAGAATTCGTCAGCAGTTAAAGTACAGATAAGGTGAAGATTTTTAGTTTCGATTTACATCTAAATTTGATTCTTGAAGTTTTATATCTATTTTGTATTGATTTTGATTTTGAACTTGAATGCTTCGATTACTTATTATGGATCAAGCTACTGTCATTAGATTGCGTGGTAGGGCAAAAGCGGCCTTCACAAGGCTTCAGAATACTATTTCTTCCGATTTATCTAAAAATGAAGTAATTTTGCATCTGGAGCGCTTTGGAAAGGATTTACTTCAGATTTTGATAAATTTGATGCCCAATTACCAGAAGAAACAGTTAGAAATTGAAGATTTTGAATCGAAGTATTTTAGTTTGAAACTTCAGTATCAAAATTTATTAGATGTAGTAAATGCGGCTAATTTGCCAAATGTTACAGGAAATTCTAATATTAGTAACTTTAAGTTACCTAAGTTGAATATTCCTATTTTTTCTGGTAACTTTAATGACTGGATGAATTTTAAAGATTTGTTTGTTGCAACAGTGCATAATACTTCTTTATCGAATATACAGAAATTTCAGTATTTAATCGGATCACTTGCTGATGAACCAGCTTCTATAATTAAACATATCCGTTATCAAATAATTCTTCTTATGAAGAAGCATGGGCAAAATTGCTCGCTAGGTACGATAAAAAGAAACAAATCGTACAATCGTTAATTAAAAACATTAATGGATCAAAAATGTATTTCACAGGTTGATAATGTTAATTTACGGCAATTAGCTGATACTTCCGATGAAGTTATCAGAGGTTTAAAAGCTCTTGGTGACAAAGCAACTTCTAGGGATCCATGGTTAATATTTATGTTGCTTCAAAAGGTAGATTCAGAAACTCGAAAGTTATGGGCACAGAAAACAGCGGAAGATGATTTTTCCTACATTGGAATCATTTTTTGAATTTTTAAATTTAAGGTGTTTCTTCTCTCGAAATTATCATAAATAAAGAAGCGGAAGCTAAAGTTGTTGATAAAAATAGTAATGTTTAGTTCTAAAACATTACAGAATTCTAAATTTAGTAATACTAAATGTTCGAAATGTAACGGACTTCATGCGTTATATAAATGCGTTAAATTTACTTTAAATTAAATTAAAAATTTGGATGTTACTGCTAGAAAGAACTTTGTATGGAAAACGAGGATTGTGTTTTTTATGTTTAAATTCACATCTAATCAAAAACTGTAATTCACAGTTAAAGTGTAATTTGTGTAATTCAAAAACACATAATAGTTTGTTGCATGAACATATTAAAGCTAACAATGTACAGCTTTTAAAAGCGCCAAATGAAAACGAAAGCACTCCAGAGTGAATTTCGAATGAATCATGCGAGGATCAAGGTCAGGTAGTCAGTAATACGATTCAAAATTGCAACTCGGCGATTTTGCCTACAGTTCTTGCACTCGCATTTTCATCCAGTGGCGAAGCTATCGAAATTAAATTATTATTGGATTCCGGAACTGAAAGTTCGTTTATTTCTGAACGAGCTGTTCGAAGATTAGGATTAAAAAGAAAAAATCAAAGGTTACTTTTGCGTGGAATTGGCGGAGTGCCAGCTTCCATAACTCGTGGTTTTGTTGATTTTAAAATTCAGTCAAAGGTAAATAATCAAGTAATTGATGTTAACGCATACATTTTGGATAGGTTAACTTTGCCATTGCCGGAACAAGTGATTAATGTAAAGCATATAGAATACATTAAATCTATTCCGTTAGCGGATCCGAATTTTGCTCAACCCAAAGAAATTGATTTGATTTTAGGAGCTGGTTATTTTTTCTTTTTTTCTCCGTTTTAAGATGTGGCCAAATATATGGTTCGAAAAATGAGCCTGTAGCTCAAAATACAAATTTTCGGTTGGGTGATTGCTGGGAAGGTCGGAAATAATATGGAAGGCCCAAAAAACAGCAAATTCACACTTCATAAAGTTAGAAGATAATATAAATATTGATTACGAACTTAAGCGTTTCTGGGAAATGGAGGATATTGTCGATGTTGGGAAGAAGGAATTTCTGACACCTGAGGAACAATTTTGTGAATCACATTTTCAAAACACTCATGCTGTTAATTCAGATGGGCGATTTGTTGTAAAACTTCCATTCTATAAATCGCATTTGAAGTGGGTGATTCAAAACCGGCAGCAATTTCTAGGTTTGCATTCCATGGAACGAAAAATTCAAAGATAATCCGGAATTTGAAAAAGAGTATAAAGATTTTATACATGAATATGAACAGGTTAGGACATATGACTGTGATTAATGATGATTTATCTAACAGATCTGAATGTAGAAAAGTTTTATCTTCCTCATCATGCGGTCAATTAAACCTTCTAGCACAACGAACAAAATTAAGAGTAGTTTTTGATGCATCCTGTAAATCTGAAAATGGTATATCATTGAATTCTCTTTTAGGGGTAGGTCCGAAATTACAAAGAGATATTTTTGAGATTTTGATTAATTTTCGATTTCCTAAAATTGTTTTCACAGCCGATGTGGAGAAGATGTATCGTCAGGTGATGGTAGCCCCTGAAGATCAGAATTATCAATTAATACTTTGGAGATACAATTCCAATGATAAAATGCGCACGTACAAGTTGAAAACAGTTACTTATGGTCTTTCCTCTGCTTCATTTTTAGCAACTCGATGTCTGAAGCAGATAGCTTTAGAGTCTAAAGAGGAATCAGATGTATCTCGTATATTGCAAGAGGATATGTATATGGACGACTTATTGTCGGGTGCAAATACAGTTGATGATGCAGTATCTGTCTGCAAGAAAATATCTTCAATTTTACATGCACGTGATTTTGATTTGAGGAAGTGGAATTCAAATTCTGTCGAATTCTTAACTGAATTTAAGGAACATTGTTCATTGAATTCTGATTTTGAGATATCTCCTAATTCGAGTTCGAAAGTCTTAGGACTTTTTTGGAATTCAACTACTGATACCTTCAGTTTTAAAGCTACACTGCACATCAACGCACCTATAACAAAAAGACGCATATTAGCAGAATCTGCTCCCATTTTCGATCCTTTAGGTCTCTTATCTCCTTGCACTATATTGATTAAAATATTCTATCAAAAACTATGGTTGGTTAAAGGCGACTGGGATTCAGTTGTTCCCCAGCATATCTCAGATGATTGGTTTAAATTTCAAGAGACATTCAATCAAATCAATAATTGTGAAATTCCGAGATGTGTCATACTTAAACGGACAGTGTTATCCAACTACATGGATTTTCTGATGCATCTTCGCAGGCCTATGCAGCAGCCATTTACTGTCGCCAAAAATGCAATGGTACGGTTAAGGTTAATCTTTTGGGTATCAAAGACTAAAGTCGCGCCTATAAAGCAAGTATCCATTCCTCGATTAGAACTCTGTGCTGCGTATTTGTTGACCAGATTAATGCGAATCTCTATTCAACATTTCAACATTTTAAAGAAGTTTGAATTTTGAAATCTGATGCGTGGACGGATTCCAAGGTAGTTCTGTCTTGGCTATCAGCTCATCCACGTAAGTGGAAAACTTTTGTGGCAAACAGAACATCTCAAATCATAGAAGTGATAACCTATTAAACATTGGAATCATGTTCCCTCTAAACAGAATCCTGCAGACATTGCTTCTCGTGGTATTGAACCTCAACTCCTACCAAATTGTACTTTGTGGTGGAATGGTCCACCATGGTTGCGTCAGGAAGAGGAAAAATGGCCTAATATGAATTAAAATCTGAAGATGATACTGAAGTAAAGGCCGAACAAAGATCTGATCCTATTTTTATTTCTCATTATACGTGAATCGAATGATTTATTAGCTAATTTGTTCGAGCATTATTCTTCGCGTTGTAAAATTGTTCGTATTCTGGCTTACTGCCAAAGATTTATTACTAATTGCAAGAAGCATCATGTTACTCAGAACATTTCACGTAGTGGCATTAACTCTAGCTGCCTTATGCCACTAACATTTCTAGAGATTCGAGTAGCAAAAAAATTCATTATTCGTTGGATTCAGAATCATTATTTCAAAGATGATTTACAATGTGTTAAAGAAGAGAAACCTTTACCCAAGAAGAGCCAACTACGTTCTTTGTATCCATTTGTAGATAAAGATGGTCTCTTACAGGTGGGAGGACGTCTTCGAAATTCATCTTTAGCATTTAACATCAAACATCCTGTCATACTTCCTCTCGACATAAATTTAGCGAATTACTAGTGAAAGAACTTCATATTACTTACCTTCAGGCTGGTCCTTCGTTATTATCACACCTCATCAGACAATCTTACTGGATAATTGGAGGGAAGAAACTGATACGCAGTTGTGTCAACCATTGCTGAATATGTCATCGATTTAAAGCTGCTTCAAATCCGCAATTGATGGGTGACTTACCTGAACATCGTGTGACTTTGGAACGACCTTTTTACGCATCTGGTGTGGATTACGCTGGTCCTATTACCATGAAATTTAATAAGGGTCGTGGCTCTAAAACAACGAAAGGCTATATAACTCTGTTTGTTTGCTTGTCGACTAAAGCTGTGCATATAGAAGCAGTCAGTGACCTGACGGCAGACTCGTTTATCACTGCACTTAGACGTTTCATTTCACGTCGCGGTGCACCACGGCACATTTACAGTGACAACGGTACCAATTTTGTGGGAGCATGCAAAAACTACAAGAACTAAATCAGATTTGGTCTTCCTTGTATGCAACGGAATCGGTTTCCCGAGAACTAACTAAGTCATCTATTGAATGGCATTTTATACCGCCTGCTTCGCCCCACTTCGGAGGAATATGGGAAGCCGGCATTCGCTCAGCGAAATTTCATCTGAGAAGAGTATTGAAAGAGACTCTTTTAACCTACGAAGAGTTGTCAACACTACTTACCCAGATCGAGGCTATTTTGAATTCACGTCCACTTACCTTACGTGAACGATACTGATATTGACTGTATTAATGTTTTAAAACCCCCTTCTCATTTCATTACAGGTGATACTTTAACTTCCTTTCCAGAGAGCCATCAGAATTTCGCACAAGGAGTTCTAGGTGGAACTTGTACAGAATCTACGTCCTGGGATTCTGGAAGCGATGGAAAAGGGAATACTTTGACTTCTCTTCAGCAGAGATCCAAGTGGCAGTACACAACAGACCCAATCTAAAAATCGACATGGTGGTTCTTATCATCCGAAGATGGATCTCCACCTCTAGCTTGGCCTATAGGACGGATCATCGATGTCCATCCGGGCAAGGACGGCTTGGCTTCGCTGTAGCTACAGTCAAAAATAAAACTGGTGTTTTCAAGAGAGCAAATAATAAACTTTCACCTTTGCCTGTGTATCAGGACTAAACCTGATAGGGTGGGAGTTATGTTCCGGTGCCACGCCGGAACAGAATTAACTCAACCTGACTCTTTCGTTGCCCTGCATTGGCAACATGCTTTTGAGATTTGTCGTTCGTAGGATTCGGTCGCTAAAAGCGTAGCTGGCCTGTAACAGTTGTAATTATTATTTTATGCTTATCTGTACTTCTGAATTATTACTAAATGTTTATGTGTGAATGTTATATTTATTAAATGTATTCAGTTTGGTTGAAATAGACCAGAGTGACTGAATTTATTAAGTATAATCAAAGTCGAAACTGCGTCATCCATGTCGGCGCCATTCTAATACGAGGTACGTAAACAATTGTTCTGCAAGGCTTAACTACTGAAGATGCTGTGGGATAGTGATCCAAAATGATACTGAAGTATCTAATTATTCTATTTGACCCCTGGATGTTCAATTGAATTAGAAAGGAAAAAATAAACTAATTATTAATAAACATTGTCATAGATGTCCAACTTTTGGAATAGCTGTATTTATCAGGAACCTGAGATTGCAAAAACATTATTGCTACTGTTTGCAGTTTGATGCATAACTGTCTTTGCAATAAACATACAATAATCTTTCAGGCAAAAAATCTTCACTCACATACATATTGATATGTATTGAGTTATATGGTTCTGTGTAACTTCTGATACGCTGGAACACACTGGTTACTTTTTTCACAAGGTTTTTTTTTTTTTTTTTTTTTTTTTTTTTTTTTTTTTTTTTTTTAAATGCAGAGTTGAAGGATGGAATGAAAACTATCTCATAAATTCAAGTAATGCTTACTTTAACCACAATTAATTAATTATTACAAAAAACAAAAATGATAAAAGAGGTTACAGAAATGTTCTTAAAAGTCAATCACCTTAGCAAAAGCATCCCTGCCATAAACTGCTTCTGATACAGTATGAACTTTCTCCATAACTTCACCTCTGGCAGCAATGACACGCTGGCACAAAGCTTTTTCAAGATGATCATGTGATACACCCAAGCACTGTGCTACTGAAGTCAGCAAATTCTGATCTTTCACATACGTGAAATCATTTTCACTATCAAATTCGACATTTCCCTGAAAGAAGGTTAAAAAAAATCACTCTTGTCGAAAATACAGATACCATAAACTACTAAATTATTTTCATTCAAATTTAACATGATGATAAATGCATTAATTTATTTTTTAAAGCACTTGTTTTTTTTCATTCACATATTTTAAAAAACTATGCAAATGTACATAGTATTTATCAATCTTTTTATGAAGTTTAATTATAGCACATTTTGTTAACTTTTTAAGAGCTAATGAAAGTCCAGTTAGCAGAATAATACTAAGTAAGAAGAGCATAAAATCGCTATTGTGTTACTTGATATCAGTATAGTACCAAAACTACATTTCGTAAAAGCATTAAAACTTTAAATACATTTTTGCACTGAAATTGCTCTTTCACTAAATTATTTTCATGAAGAGAATTTGCAGGTAAATAAAGGAAGGTAACAGATAAACGTATTCAAAATATTATTGAAGTCATTAAAAGCTATCAACAATATACTTAGGAACACTTGAATGAAATGTCTAAAAAGTTACATTACAAAATCCAATTATTTTTATCTCACGAAACAAAAAGAGCTATATATGTACCAAAAAAATATGGCAAATAACAAATTTCCAAAAACTACTTTAACATAACATTTTATTCAGATCATTAAAATCCAGTCACAGAATATTTATTGCATATTTCCATGTATAAGGTGAGAAATTCTGGAGTATTATCCTAAAGATAAGTTATGATGATTGGCTTACATACAGATCTGCTAATCTCTTAAAAATCGTACATGCTTTTCCATTTGCTGGGCATAAGCGATAATTCACCAAATATGGCATTTTTTTATTACTTTAGTTTATATTTTTTAAGTTTATGTAAAAAATGGGTTTTAAATGTAATGAACTATTTATTTTAAGAAAATGAGTTATTTTCAAAATTGTTTATACTACTGGTTTGTTGCCTCATTACCAAAATGAAAAATCTGGTGTTGGTGAAATTTGCACCTAGCAAACTGAAAAATTCCAACACATGCACTAGAAATAATAACAGAATATCATAAATTATTAGTGCACATGAATTACATTAATATTTTAACTTACTTTTGAGGTGTTTTGAATGCAACCTTTATGCAAAAAGAAAATAAAGTCACAAATGAAAAAGAATGGAAAATATGTGCTAGTTTCAGATAGAGTTAAAACTATCCTTGTTGTCATCTGGCCTGGCATAGTGATCTGAATGGAAAGTATTCCACCTCTTTAAACTGGCTGGCTACATTTTTGTCTTCATGGAGACATGTTTGAAGGTTACAGGAATATAACCTATTTCGGCTAAGATGTGGGTTTTGGATTTGGGGTTTGAAGAAAAAATGCATTCTCAGAACGTACATGGACTGGCTTTTATTTGGAAATATACTGTATGCATTTTAACCAAAAACAGAACACTATTTTTACTATCTTTTGCTTTTTATATAAAATCATGTCCTGATAAAACCATAGTGATAATCTGATAAATAGCACATACATTTGTACATTTGAAGTTATTTAAGAGAACACACTCTTTGCTAATTTTGCCACTTTATTTATTATTATTGTTTAATATTTAACATTTAATCTATCCCCAAAAAGAAGATTAAAAATATGAAGCTGACAATGAGAAGATCTGATACATTAAACATTTTTCTACAACTCAAAAGAAGATACATTTTTGTGATTATTATATGCGTATTGGAAGTACCACAACACAATAAATAATAAAAATATTCTCAAGAAATGTTTTGAATACTTTTTACTGGGAAGATACACAGTACAGGACATTTTACTAGATTTTGCCCCATTTTTCCCCAACAGTTTTTAAACTAACAGACATACTTTAATATGCTTTTAAAATGAAAATAAGAAATTGTACTTTGGGAACTGGAATTTCATAACTAGTCTTCATTTGATGCATATTTTTATCTTGTGCTAATTTGCCACATTACAGCAATATTTACAATTAACAAACAAATTGGAAATATCTTTATTTCCAGCTAGACATTTCTAAATAACATCATGAAAAATCTGATTATTTGTTGTGATACATCTTCTCTTTCAGCATGTCCCATACGACAAAATCTAGAAAATAAGATCAGAAAATCTCTGTGGCCAATGCCCCACAGAATTTTCACTATCCTAAACAATACAAAGAGAGATAAATTACACCATCCCACTGAAAACAGTAATTAAAAAGTTTTTCATCATCCATCAGCTTCAGAAATTCATGGAAACTGTGGTGTCATGACAGAAGACACTACAACCCCAACTTTCTACCTCATACAGATATCTCAGGTGAAGTGTGGGGATTTAGTTTACATACATACTGCTATTTTGAAAACTCATGTGCCCACTTAGATGGAACTATGTTGTACTTTCACATTAAGCATGGTATTAAAATATGTACATTATTAATAAGCATATATATTTCATTACAGTTAAATACACATTATAAATATATACTTGATAATGTGGCCAATTCTGTGGGTTTTTAACGCTAGATGCAAATCAAACAGTCACAAAACATCAAAAAATTTCATTGAATTACATGAGCATTTTTCTACCATTTCTTCCAAGAGCTGCAAAATTTCTTTTAAAAAAGTTATTTGTTTATTCAGCAAAGTTAGTGAAGAATTGTTTGATAGTCTCCAAAGATCTCCAGACCATTCAGAGAAATCCGACTTGAGCTCAAGATATGAAAACTCAAGGGGGTTAAAATCTAGTGAATATGGGAGCTGACACAAAACAAACCCAGATATCTCAATAAATTTCTGCCAGATATTGATCAAAATGCGGGGAAAAGCATTATCATAACTGAAGGAAACAAACTCAACCACTGATTAGTTTTGAGTGCTTTGCTTCGATTTCTGCTTTTAAAACTGCCATTTGGGAACAGTAATTTTCCAAATTTATTGTCCGAATTGATGGCAATGATTCACATTATACTATTCCAAAATACTTATATTACATTATAATAAATATATTACAATAAAGCAGAGTATTATATTTTTTCCAGTTTTTACACTACTCGCCAATAAAATTTATTACATTATAAAAGAAAGCAATGAGAAAAATCATATTTAACTTACAAAATACATTAAAAATGGAAAGATGAAATTACTAGAATATCAAATAATTTTAAGGTACAGAACATGCAAAAATCAGTACTCCAATTACCTACTTCTGCAAACAATAACAGCTGTTACATAGTTGATTACAAATATTGCAGTCTATGCAATTCTATGCTTTTATGCTAAGAGTTCAGTTTACACTGGCTATCTGGTATTGTCATTCCAGTTTCTCTGCAACAATTAACAGTATGTTTTCAGCTGGTGAGAAATCTGGGGAATGCCCGGCCAACACAAGAATCAAGCTTCTTTTGCATTAAAGAAACTTTGCTAATTTGTGCTAATTTTTATGTGTTGCACTTGTTAATTTATTTAATATTACACTTCACAAATTTATTTACCTGAAATACCCTGTTCTGATAATTTCTTAAACATTTATTAAATCTAAAATAATATAACAAAGCACTTACTAACTGAAGAATAGCTGCAAGTATCCTCCATAAAGTTTCAGACTGTTGTTGATGAAAGCCTAAAATTTTCAAAGCATTACAAACATTCTTATGGTCTGTCTTGTCATTTATGGAATCCACCTTTATAAGGAAAATGCAAGTAACTTATAATTAATAATACTCATAAATTATATTCTCATTAATGCAATCAGAGATTTTAAACTTTAATACGTTTTAAAAGCTTAAACTTAAAAAAGGCTTAAGATAAGCCTTAGGCTTTCTTTAGATACAACACAGAGAAAATGAAATTGCACAATAAAATTTCTCAATACAAAAATAGCAGTCAAATGAAACTTGACAAAAGCCACTAAAAAGAAAGCACTGTGATGACATGTACGCTTCACCACAGGTATTACACGTTTTTTTACAAGCTGCAGTAGACAGTTGGCACCTCACACTTTGTTTCATGAGGTATTGACTAATTTTGAGTAAGCAACTGCTATGTGTGACAGAAACTTGCAAGAAAGAAAACAGGATGCAACTTGATTTCTCATAGCAAACGATTACATGGTGAAGGACATTCAGTGCAGAATAGAAGTTGCTTACAATCAGCATTGTTAAAAAATTTAAGGGACTGTTTTGATTCTGAAAATTTTTAAATGGCATACTAACTTTAAAGGATGAGCCACAAACAGGACAACCTCCTATCTTCTTCATGATAATCAGTATCCAGGGGGTTCATTAACTGGCAAGCTAATAAACAAAATAAATAACTAGTCAGTGTAGTTTGGTTTTGATTATGGCAAAGCACGGCTATCTGCCTAAAGGGGGCTCATATATATATGTTACACATAGGGAAGACCATGAAAACACCCATGCAGTCATCCTGTTGATCGCGATTTGAACCCTGGACCAAATTACCAGTGTTCAGTGACTTTACTGCTCGGTCACCGGCAGCCCTAGCCACCAGTGCAGTTGGCATAAACCATGGTGATAGCTCAACACTCTGCTTTATTGTAAGGTTTATACCCAGTATGCTCCATGAAACCCAATTGTGGAATAAAGAACATGGCACATATGCAGTTCAATGAACTATATCTGGACCACTATTCGTTCCATGATAATTTCTGATTACACAGCATGATACAAGCAAACATCTGTCATTAGTGACTTAGAATGTATCTTGTCAGCGTGCAACTCTAATATGTATGGTAATTTCCATTCATGCATAGCAAACAGCAGACCAATGAATTACATGCAATGTTGGTGTTTTTCTTTGATCACAATGGAACCAATGCTTTTTGTCCTAATGTATGACCACTGATGCTGATCAAGCCAAAAGGCATGGTTTCCTGATAATGGGTGTTATTCTTTTACCAGATAGCATAAAGCCTCCAAAGCATGCTAGTTACATTTTGTAAGCCAGTCTGATTGTCATATTGGTAAACGATGTTGGCTGCCATATCCTTCGGTCTAGATTCCAATCTCAGAAAAGGCTTGGATGTTTGTAAGCATATAGTATGTTTGCGATATAGAAGCATTTAAAATACATTTGTAAGCCAAAAGCTTTCTTGAGAAATCTGGTGGTAGGGGACAGAGGAGGAAAGCCTTTGGACTTGTTCCCTCAGGGATTCTTCAAAATTGAAATAGAGCTAGAGAATGTCATATTATCACCTGCATGAATGTCATACTGTCACCTATATGATGCCCATGCTAATGAGAGGGATAATCCTGTACTCGTTGTTATGGTAAAATTTGTGGAATTCTTCTGATGACATTGTCAGACAAGCGAGATAAATCATGAAACAACACACTGCAAATTCCTCTGCTCATCCAGTGCATACCCCTCATTCATTTTTCTCCACTTAATTCACAGATTTTTTAAAAGTTGGAGAAAGGTTTGAAGAGAATGTATCTTTGGGCAGACTAAAAAATGAAAAAGAGTGTGCAGCACTAGTTCCATTCACAGCTGCAAAATATTTCAATTGAGGCATCCATCACCTACACTAACATGAAAGAATGTACTGGCAGTAGTGAAGAGTCAGAATAGAAGATAAGTGTAGCCAGTGGTATAAAGTATTCATATTTCAATTAAGAAGTTTACACCAATTTCGTACGAGTGTCAAGATTTTCTACTCAAGTGACAGCTCATATATCAAAACTATCCCAACATCAAATTTCCATAAAATTGCCGGAGTGTTCAAAATACTTTCATTTAATGATTTCTTTAACATGTATTAAAAATTGTCAGGAAAAATAATGATTAATTATGTTTTCACAAACAACATGTATTAAAAATTGTCAGGAAAAATAATGATTAATATGTTTTCACAGGCAATAAGATAATAGTAATCATTTATTTATATTGATCATATTCCTATTACAATAATGGTCGTTTATTTATAGTAATTCCTATTATAATAGTGATCCTACTCCTGTTATAACAGTAATCATTTTTCATTTATAAACACTTACATGCATTGCCAATAATAAGACTGGTTGATCTTTTTTCTATAAAAATACATTTTCAAGAATACGACATAGATTCACAGTTAACTGTAATTAGAAAATCTACAATTTGAGGACTTTTCACACTGAAACTGCCATTGTAAAATAGTCTGAACATTAGTTCAATTGATACTAGATTATAACTTAGACATTTTACATTTACAGCTTATTAACAAAATATTTTTGTTTGAAAAGGAAAATTAAATAAATCTTCACTAGCTAATTAGAGTTGGGCATGCATTCTGCAAAAATTACCCATAAAGCTTTTCCAATTGATGAATTAAATTTCCTTGAAGATTTTCACATTCAAAACAACTTACCTTTTTTAATTGACATTAATTCCAACTTAGTTACACTTTAAGAATTCTAATAAGTTAGTTTTTCCTATTTCATTATTATTTCTTCATTAGATTGCACACCCCTTATCAGCATAAGATTTCCTTTCACTTTGCTCTCTTATCATCACTCCATCTATTTTGGAAAAGAGGAAAATTCAATTTCCTCCACACACCCAAAGAAGGGAAGGCCAGCATCTGATTGCCCTTGAAATCGATAGAATTTAATCCAAAATCTACACCAACTGCCCCCCTTTTTCTGTCTAATTTTGAAAATTACAGCTTGAATTATTGTTTAACTTTACTTTTATAAATATTGAATTAATATAAATAATACAAAAGAGCTTTCAATTTATTACCAAGCCTGAAATTAAATTTTCTATTGAAATTCAGTCATTCAATTATTTATAAATTTTAATCAATGAGGCAATAACTATTTTTTATTTTAAGTCATTACTTGTAAATTTAAAAAGTAATTAGTAGAGAGAAATTTCTTTAAATAAATACAAAATACCATTATCATGAACTCAAAAATCCATAACAGATTTTGAAAATACAAACATAGATTTTTTTTTAAATGACCTTAAGAACATAACTAAACGTTAGCTGAAAGGAAACAGGTTAAAAAATTCTAAATAAAAAGAGGATCACTAAAGTTTTTTTTTTTTTTTTTTTACCTTTGGACTACCTCCTTGTCGTGTGTAGTGATACGATAAAGGATCTCTTTTGATGCCATATTTTGATAACAAAGATTCTGGAGTTCCATACAAAAGTTGGTAAAAGGAATGAAAATTCCTTTCACCTTTCTGTTGAGCAACAACTCGGGACTATATTAAACAAAGAAATCACATATAATAAATGAAAAATGTAACTTAATTATATATTAATATGCTGATATTTATACACAAGTATTACATAATTCACAATTATTCCTCCATTTTAGAAGCTTTAACGTATTTCATATTTTCATGCAAATTAATAATAAGAAAAACAGCAGCAATAATTCTGAAGTTTTACCTTTTAAAATATTAATTACAATTAATATAATCACATATCAATAAAATAACAATATACAATTTCTGAAGTTATAATTCTGAAGTTTTACCTTTTAAAAGTAAAACAGTTACTTTCATAATCTATTATTTTATTGATATGTGGTTATATTAATTACAATTAATATAACCACATATCAATAAAATAGCAATATACAATTTACATCCAATCTTTTCACATCAACTGTCACAAATTATAACAGCAAAAATATTCTCACAAACAAAACTTTTCCCACAAAAAATTTCAACTGATTCTTTATATTGTGTTTCACACTTGTTTTTTTAAAAAAACAGTCATATTGTATTCATTATGCAAAATCTAGCTTGTTTTACCCAAACAAATACAAAAAAAAAAAAAAAAAAAAAAAAAAAATTAAACGCAAAGAGCAATTTTTACTAAAAAATAGGAATTGCAAATGACTTAAAATTAAATTCAGAATATTCAAATAAACTTTTGCCTTATAGGTGTTTTTATGGGGCAAATGGAGAAAAAATTAAAGGAGACATGGTATAAAGTCACAACCTCTGGATTATAAGCAACTGCTTTATGCTTGCGCATTTGATATTTTTTCATAATAAAATGTGGTGAGTCCCAATCCTTAATTTTGCTTTGGCAATGATGCCCATTTGGGGAAGCATTCTTTATCATTTTCTTTCATCCTCATATGACGATTAACCTTTAGATGGTCATCAATAATGTCAACTTGCATTCCAGTTACGTACCATAACAGGCACAAAGCAATACAATTCATATAACAAATTTAGGAATGACAGACATTGTGCACATTTGGAAAGAAAGAATTGCTTATCTTGCAACTGCCAAAGGGTTAACATGCTGCAGCTTGAGAAATGATTCATACAGCAATGTCAATTTTTTTTTATTTTATTTTTAATATTAATAATTGAACAGAAAAGAGCATGGTAAGCTTTTATTTGACATTATGCTTGGCAATGATTACAGACTTCAGCTAACTGAACTTATGAAGTGTTGAGTACCTTAATGAGGAGAAATTTAACAGAAATTTCTTTCCATATGCAAAAAATAGATTTTGTTACTATTAGGAAATGTGATTACATTTAGTGCTGTACGAATTGGGAATAATTGATTTTTTATTCAGATAAGCCCAGGATTGGTGCCAGAGTTGTAGTGGCCACACAGGACAGCAGAATTTAGAGAAGGCAAAGTTTTCAGGCTGACCTTCTGAAGTTGATTATGTCAAAATTAAAGCCATAATTAAATCAAATAACCATACAACTCTGCGAGAGATTCCAAAAGGGTTAAATGGTCTGTTAATCAAACACAGCAACTGAAAATCACCTAAGATGTTCTAGACTCATTATGAAGCTCAATATTTGGGTTTCATACGACTTGAAAGAAATTCACTTAACACTACAAATCAATATTTGCACTACACATTTCAAACATAATACTATTGACCCTCTTTTGAAACAGATCATCATTTGTGATAAAAAAGGGGGGGATTGTAAGCAACCAAAGGATCAACTCAATTGTTTACTGCCAACAACCGGAGGAAGCAATCAAAAAGGGCAAAGATGACAAATCGCAAAAAAATTGTGTTCCACCATGACAGTGTAAGGCCTTATGCATCTTTACAACACATACAACATTCTTGAAGCTTAGTTGGGAATTTATGTTGGACCCCCCCCCCATATATTTGTATTTCACCATTTGATTATCATTTATTTCAAAGTTTACAAAACTTCTTAAATTGTAAAAATTTCACTTACAGTATGACCTCAAATCACATTTGGTTCAATTTTTTGCCAATAATGATTTAAAGATCTATGAGCGAGGTATCAGGAAGTTACCACAAAGATGGGAAAAGATTATTGAACAGAATACAAGACATATGAGAGAATAAAATTAATTTTTATACAGAAAAACTGAGTTTTATTTCCCACTAAAAAAGCAAAATTACTTTCTTGCCAACCCGATACTTTCAGTTCTCTTATGTTTATAAAATTACACTCTATGGATACTTGTTCCTCCCCAATAATTGCAAAATGCAAAGGATTAAAGCATTTTTACTTGTATATGTTAATAAAATAGGAACTCACTTTTTCTAGTAAGTAGTTGCTTATATGTCCACCAAACGGATCACCTTTGAAATCAAAATTAATGTCCATATATTTACCAAAACGACTAGAATTATCATTTCTATTTGTCTTCGCATTTCCAAAAGCTTCTAATACACAATTAGACTGTAGCAAAATATTTTTAACCCTGAAAAGAAAACAATGTTTTTATCTGAATTAGTCTTCATTTAAGTTATTGTTAGACAATGAATACAAATATTTGCAATGAACATACATGCACTATTTTCCCGCTGTAAGAAAAAAGGCACACAACTAAATGGGGATACATCTATGAAGACAAATTCACATACACTTACTCAGAAATGATCATTACATAATCATTAATAGAAAATATCAGTTAATGAGAATTCAGATAGTGTTATCTTAAGTCTGAAATTTTTCTGAAAATAGTGGTAAAAACCAACATCTGGGGGGGGGGGGGATGGAGAGGAAGGAGAAAATTTTTTTAAACAAAGGAATAACTCTAAAATAATATTTTAATAGAAATATAAAATAAAGTAAATGTTACACAAAGAAAATACATACATGAACAGAATATACTATCTTCTCATTCAGAAAGCAAATTGGATACATACACACTAAGCCACCACTGACATACGACTCACTCTGACTGACAGATAATATGTTGGTTGATATGATCGTATGTTAGCCACGTATTTATTAATAGCATTTTTTATATGAAACAGTATGTTAGTATTTTTTTAACCTTTGTGATATTTCTACTACTTTTAAAATATTTTCAGTTCTTATCTTTTATTTTTCAGTTTAGGTAATGCCAAATGTTGTGAGGTTAAATTAAAAGATTCTCTACATGCTTAATTTATTTATTATCCATACAGGTATTAAAAATACAAAACAACAGTGTTTCTGTTGCAAATACTGCTAAATAACACTAAAATAAATGCAATTTAAATAAAATACAAAATTAAAAAACAATCAAAAGTTATTGTAAAAATTAATAAAAATTTTAACTTTAAAAAAATCAGTTTTTAAGCTTTACTTGAGTTGGATTGTGGATTGTCACGGCCATGTTTTTGGGATGAGACAGATGTTTTCTTCACGAAGAACCTGCTAAGCTTAGTTTGAACAATTTCTTTTTATATTCATATGTCTTGTGATAATACACAGCATCTTGAACGATTACATTCAACCTCTTTAAATCATTCAGTACTACAGTCCATTGCTTTGATTCTGGTGAGAGCTTCCTGGCTTCTTCTGTCTCCCTTGCCTTTTTTTTTTTTTTTTTTTTTTTGCCAGTTTTAATGATTCCAATTCAATCAGCTCTTTCAAAAGTTCTTTTGTTCTCAATCTCAATTTTCTCTAACTCTTCTACTTCACATTCAAACTTTAGATCTTTTCCAAGTTTAAAAATTTCTTCTATAATTTCTTCCAGCTCCTCTCCTTTTCAAACTGAAAAATTCAACTATACTGATCCCTTATCTCAGATGTTTTTTCCGAACACCCGTCATAAAATTCTTCATTACACATGCCTATAAGATTGAATTATTCCCGATACAACGCAATATGTTATACTGCTTCTGAAAGGCTCTCAAAGATTATCCAGCATTGGTATCTATGGCTTCCAATGGCTAGTGCAAATGTAGTGCTGAATGAGAGATTGTTCATCAGCTGAATGAGAGATTGTTTGGAGGGGTAAAACTCAATTTGATATTAGGAAAAATAGTCCACATGAGAAGGGTAGACAGAGGCACTATTCATAATTAAAAAACATTTGAAAGGTATATCTTCAACATAACATTCACAAGCCTGGAGAATGAAGCAAATTATGAACCAGTCTTCGAAAAGTATTCGAGACAGCTAAGCCTTTTGGCTTGATTGTTAGTAAACAGATAGCGAGTTCTTGCTAATACAGTAGAAGGTCCAGAAATCTGCAAAGCTTAACAGGTTGTGCGGATTTTAGGATTTTGCGAATTTCAGGACAGCAAAGATAAAGCATAATATTCGGACTAAAAGTGCAAAATAAATAAGGCACATTAGATACATTTAATTAAATTATTATATACATTATTGGAATAATTTACTATATGCATTAAATTATTATTACATATATAAATTGATTATATTATTCATTGTATTATACGTACACAGCATCAAGGTTTGCCGATTTCGCCTCATGCAAAGATTTCCGGTTTCGGATTCCGGTGTTAGAATCACTGTTGCAGTAAAATTTCAACAGCTTTTCTTTATTTTTCCGTATATCATACACAATCATGTTGCAATTCCATACCATTCTGCTATAAATCGAGGAGTAGCACCTGCTTCCATCTTTTGCGTTACCGTCAATGCAACATGTTTATATTTTTCAACATTTCAAGCAGTAAAATCATGAGTGCGTTTCTTACCTGTCATTGCATTAAAAAGGGCTGAAATTTAAAATATTCTTAATTTATCCACAAAATATCTCGTGAAATAACAAAGCTCAGAAAATACAACAACGTGAATCGTGAACTTGAACGAAAAGTTGAGTGAATCGTATGCTTTTTTACCTCGATGCAGAGATTAGAGGGAAAAAACTTTAATCTTAATTTTTAAACTTTTTTGTGTCAAGAATTTGGTATTTCAGTTATGACTCATTATTATTCAGTAATTATGACATCATTAGTCGGTAAGTATTTTTTCTTTGATATTTTGTACTCAATGTTGCGGTTTCCGGAACCTATAAACTGAATGCTTGTATTTTGAGAGGCAACGCGGATTTCAGGTTGGCGGATCTTCAGTATCTGACTGTATTGTTACAAATTTTGTACATACATCAATAATTTTAGTGAAATTTAAGTAAATTGTAGCAACTCTTGTATAACTTAACATGAAAAGGACTCGGGAGAGGAAAGCATCGACGGAAATTCAGGGTTACAGGGGTTAATTCAACAATGAGGTAAATGGCTATCTTGCTAAACAAAATAGTTTTGGTAACTAATTTTTATTATCCAAAGTTGGCCAAATTTGGTAACATTCTGCCCTGATCCCTACAGGTTGAGAAAAGCAGTAAATATTTTATGCAAAAAGGAAAAAAAAAAGTCACTGTTTTTTAATAACTTCTATAGAATACGATGCTGATTGGAACCTTCACCAGTACAAACCCCATATCAGAAAACTCAACATGCAAATTGATCATTCACAATTCAATGCATGAAGTCACATTTTCATTATATGATTTGATGATATTTGTTTAGAAAAGACTATTTTAATTTTTAATATTTGACAGCATTGATATTATAAACTTATAAAAGATTAATTGAGTTTCTTTGACCTAGCATCATTTGAGAATGTTTTGGTTTAGTTATTCTGGCTGAAGTAAGAATCCTACCTAACAAAGTTATTTTAGGCGTTTCTTTTAGAATTACAAAGTCCGTAATCTGGACTCGTCGGACTTCAGTGATTACGGATTAGGGGTTTTTCCAGATTATAGATCATCAATTTAAATCTGGTAAGATTGCATGCAGAAATTATACAATTAAAAATATGAAAGCGTAATTTATGAAATAAAGAGCAATTATGATCTAAAGGGTATCAAAATTTACCAAAAAAAAAAAAAAAAAAAAAAAAAAAACTTAATATTTATTTGTTTACTTTATTAAACACTAGGTGTACCCGCCCGGCGTTGCCCGTGCATTTAGAAAATGCAGATAAGTGAATAGCGCAGGAATAGTAGTGTAGGACATGTAGACTGTCTCTCTCTCTTCCCCCCCCCCCACAAGCTACAAAAAAGAAATGAATTGTAATTAATCGATTTAATGTATCGTCAAAACAGCAAACTAACGCTAGAATAAAGAAATCAATTGTTACAATCGAACGTTATTTGAAAACAAATAATAATATCAGTGAGTCAAAAAAACCGTGATTAATTAATTATAAATAATTTTTTTAAAATTTTTCTAATTCAAAAATCGAAAATCGGGCTTCGAGGTCTGGTGGCCAGCCCCTTTGTGCTTCCGTATAAAAAATTCCAGGTCCCTGCGTGCGATAGATTTGGCTGGAGAGCTCGGTCAGACAGACAGACAGACACATTACACTTGCTTTTATTATTATAAAGATTTCTTTCAATGTAAGTTGTTTAAGATGTTAAGATGCTTCCACAAAAAATTCAAAAAGTTCCTTTTTCTTGTGTCATCCAATGCCATACTCCTCGCATAATTTTGAGACAGATATGGCTTTATCTATTTTTTGCAGCAATTCCACTTTTTGTTTGATGGACATCGAAACATGGTTTCGCTTTGTAGATCCTTTGGCAGCTCCAGAATTGGAAACTTTTTTTGACATAATCGAAAATTCAAGCTTAATTTTTATAAAATTGCTCAAAAACAGTCTGCAAAATAATAAGTCGGATCCACTTAGTAAGGAGCAGAGCAATCTGTTACATTAACTAAAATAAATGCTTTAGAATCAGTAAAGATAATTTTAGCCTAGCTTATACCATTCGTTATACATTAAACGCGCATGCGTAAACACATTAAACGCACATGCGTAAACACATTACGCGCATGCGTAAAGCATACCCCACAAAAAACGTTTGTGGCTTTGAGGTCCAGATTATAGATCATTCCAGATAATGGACGTTGTACTGTATTTGACATTCAGAAATATAAAACTTAAGGAAACTTTAGCATAATTTTATCAAAAAATTCTAATAATCTGTGCATCCTTCAAATGTTTTACAGAGTTCTCAATTTGCAGTGCATATTTTAAAAATTGGACTTTTTTTAATGATTAAAAATTATTTTAAAGATTACATGTTGTAAGTTTCAATACACATGAATGCTTTTAATCTCCAACTTTATGACTTACAGCACATATTTATTTAAAAATAAATTTTTGGAGCTCTCTTATTATTTAGGATTACATAATGTAAAATTCACTAGCCAAGAAATTTTTCAACATAAAATATTTACATCAATTTAATACAAGTTATAAAATTTTAATTTTATAAATTATTTCCCGCAGAGTATAACAGATAATCTTATCCATGCAACAGAATTTGCTACCTGCTACATGTCTTTATTACAAAACAAAAAATACAATTTCTATAAATTCAAAATTAAAGGATAAAATTCATATATTAAAAGTTATACCTTTCAATTTCCTTTTGTCCACTTGTGTTAGTTATGGCAGCTAGATACCTCATTATTATTTTTGAGGCTTCTGTCTTACCAGCTCCACTTTCACCTAAAAATAAGAAAAAGGAAATTATACATTTATGTACTGGTAAACATAACCGGCAACAGTCACAGATAGCAAATGCTTATATGGCCTGAGTAAATATAAAGTAATCTTGAAAGGATTGCATAAAATATTTCAAAAAGTATTTTTCTTACCTGATATTACGATACAGGTGTCAACAGCATTACGTTTCATGGACTTATACGCAGCATCTGCAATAGCAAATATGTGGGGTGGTCGCTCAAAGATTTCGCGTCCTTGATAGTTATTTACATAGTCCTGGCCATAAATATTCATAGTCCTATATGGATTTACAGAAACACATACTTCTCCAATATATGTATAAATATATCCAGCATTATATCTGAAAATGAAATGACAAGAAAGAAAGTTCAGACTCCAGTAACTAAGAACACATATTTATATATTTTTAAAACAAAAAGAAATGGTACTATTCTGTGTTGAGGGCCGTAAAAAAATTGCAGCGAAAATGTATGCGCAAAAGCGCCAAATCTAGCAAACGCGCCCATTTAACAGCGCGCCAAATCTAGCGTACGCGTTGATTTCAGATTGCGTAAGTTTAGATAGTTCTATATTTCTCAAGACGCCATTGAAATACTAGTTTAATTTTTAAATCCTTTTTTGATATCCTATGGATTTAACAATTTGGGAATTGCTCATGACGAAAAGTCGGCAATAGAATTTGGGGTAAAGTGCAGAATCATCCACTGCTTGACGCATTTTTAAGAATTGCATATACTCGGTATCCATGTGCACATCGACCTATTTTCACTTTAATAAAAAATCCTAGAATTGCACAACAAGAAAGAAAGTTCAGATTCCAATAACTAAGAACACATATTTATACATTTTTAAAACAAAAAGAAATGGTACTATTCTATTTTCAGGGCCGTAAGAAAATTGCAGCGAAAATGTATGCGCAAAAGCGCCAAATCTAGCAAACGCGCCCATTTAACAGAACGACAAATCTAGCGTACGCGTTGATTTCAGATTGCGTAAGTTTAGATAGTTCTATATTTCTTAAGACGCAATTGAAATACTAGTTTAATTTTTAAATCCTTTTTTGATATCCTATGTATTTAACAATTTTGGAAATTGCCCATGACGAAAAGTCGGCAATAGAATTTTGGGTAAAGTGCAAAATCACCCACTACTTGACGCGTTTTTTAAGAATTGCACATACTCGGTATCCATGTGCACATAGACCTATTTTCACTTTAAAAAAAAAAAAATCCTAGAATTGCACAAAAATGGCACTGCGCACACCCTTGACTTTATCTATGTACACATCGACCTATTTTCACTTAAAAAGTAAAAGAAAATTGACAAAAAATCCAATTGTTTTTACCCTTGTAAAAAGCGGCAAACAAATAAGTGAGCGATTCTGCACTTTACCGAGAATATTTTCAAAGAAAAGGCATCATCCATTATAGAAAATTACGTTTGAACAACCAACGAGATGAAATTATGCTTTAGCGATAAGTCGGTAGCGAAATACTGATGCAGGCATCCATTCAGTTATGTTTAGCAATTTTTATATAAATTATAATAATGATCTGAAATAGTTATTTACTCTTATGCTTCCATTCAGTCATGTTTAGCCTTTTTCATATAAATTATATTAATAAAAAAGTGTTACATGAAATTAACCCTTTCGTCTAAATTAAAACACCAATCTTAGATAGTTATTTACTATTAATACTTCCTTTCTTGCCGCAATTATTAGGATTGCCGCAATTCTTTTGGGCAGCACTGGCATCAACGATAACTTGGTGATTTTTTTACGGCCCTCGAAACAGAATAGTAGCAAAGAAATAAATCTAAAATACCTTAACCTGGAAAATAAGACTGCAGATTTAACCTTTACACACTGCAATGCTTGGCAGATACATATCTATTAGCGTTCAAAAATACCGAATGCAGGCTTTATCTCTTTAAATGCTGCCCTGGTCATTACAAACGCTAATGATGCTGGCTGCTATTTTCATGAAGCAAGGTTTGAATGTAAGCTATAACACGAAATATGGAGAGGAGCACCTAAAATACATGGCGAAAGTCCTTTCAGAAGGTTTGATGGTAAGGAAAGATGCGGTGAAAGACCTCTTTCAGGGAATTCTCTTTCAAAATTGGGGCAAAGCTGTTCATACTTCATTTATAAGATACTAACGGCCCATTTAGCCTTGGCCATAGTCAATAACAACTGTTATCCTGTAGTTCTCACCACAATAAAGTCTGTAGATTTACTATGTTAGTCAGACAAATAAGATCAGGCACAACATTTTCTTTACTAATTAAGAATGATAATGTTTGTTGTTGCCTGTTATTAGTGGTTAGTGAAGCTGACATCCATACCAATTGGCCCAGGTTAGAGTCTCAGAGAAGACACAGATGTTGGTAAGACGTATCGCAAAAGGATATTTAAAATATATTTAAAAGGATATTTAAAATATGGCCTCGACAAAGTCCTTTTGAGAGGTTATGGTAGGGAAAGAAGAGTGGGAGACGATCGGGCCGCTCCCCACCTCCGGTATACTCACTTAAAATTGGGTGCGAAAATTTTACAGTTTGATAAGTTCAGCAATACCTCAATCACCTGTGGTACTAGAGAGGTACTGGCCTAGCTTCTACTTGTGCCTGTTAATGTAAATTTCCTTCACAAAGCTTCTTAAAATAAGCTGCATAGATTTTAAGAAAATAATATTGACACTGTGGATAGAAAGAATTTCATAAAATATTTAACACTTTATATGGTTGCCAAAATATGAAAACTCAGTGCTTAAATTAGTTAAAAACAAAGTACAGCTTCCTAATATGCAAAATTAGAGATAAGATAAACAAAAATTTTCATCAAAAACAAATAGGTCATATACAAATTTAAAAACGAATGCAGTTTTACCCAAAACACGTACTAGCGACACTAGTACGTGTTTAACTTTTGTTAACTTGGCGAAGTTCGACAATTTTTTACAGAGGAAAAAGATGATTTATCTACCGTATTTAAAAGTTATTATTATAAATACAAATATATTACATTCATAATTTACGTTTTAATTACGTATTTATTCCGAAAATCAATCAATAAACCTATTTACAAGCGGGTTTTGCTTCTTTTGTTCAACTGAAAATTCCGCGATGATCGCTTAAAGAATTAAAAGCAGTTATTCGTTTTAACGATCTTGTGTCAAATTATTGGAATTTTTGCAGAAACTTTACAGCAGTTTCTTCCGTCGCAAGTGAATTCCACAAGCACATGTTTTAAAATTATATTTACGACCAAAAAATATAGCGATTTGTTTATAAAAACTATACAATATTAATGTTCTAAATATAAGCTTATAACAACAGCGAGCGCTCATGCGAAGCTGCCTTCACCAAAATCAATTTTCAGCTGTATGTCATCCGTAATCTATTCATGTACGTTTCTGCACAGCTACAGCACATAGGCGTACCCCCCCCCCCACACACACACACACACAACACGTACAAAAACGCAATATATATATATATATATATAAAGCCTACGACGATCAATCTTTCTTTCTGTCTCTCTTTTTTTTTTTTTTTTTTTTTTTTTTTTTTTTTTTTTTTTTTTAGCTTTGCTGAAATCTGACGAGGAGGTCGAAAGGCAATTAATGGGCTGTATGTGGCTAGCAAACTTTCAGTTGGCCACCCATTATATGTCAGGTCATTTCTATTTAAAAAGTTATTAATTTAATAATTACTTAATAAGCTTTTTTTATGTTAAGCTACAGAATGAAGTACTAATAATATTTCATCCTGATGTCTTTATGCAGGTATGTTCTAACATCTGAAGCACATCTCAAAACTGCACCTTCTAATTACTGCTTTATTCCTTTTAATAATAATTTATTATGTTTCAATTTCACATCCAATCTCGCTCCCTCTTTAAAACCTCGACAAAGTGCTTTTGTTCACATCCCTTTTGACATCACTTCTGTAACCTAATTAATCAAACAGAAGACTATCAAAACATTACATGGATACAATTAAAATATTTTTGTAACTCCATTTCTGCTGACAATTTAGAAAGCGAAATTATTGAGAGAAAACGAAAAAAAAAAAAAAAAATTAAATGCTGATCCTACAAAGACATCGCATAAACACAGTCTGTCAATATTGTCGTTAGAAACCGCAGCGCGTACAGTTTAGTGAAAATTTAATTATCATTTATTGGACAGAAAAGGTAATAAATGCCACAGATTTTTACCTTAAAACCTAAAGAGTTCACGTTTGAAGTGTATGCTTAAGTCTGTGGTGATGGCGATAAGGACCGCGCCTTGCGCCCTCCGATAAGTGTGGCACCCTAGAGGAGAAGTTTCTTACGAGTAGCGAGCAGAGCGAAACAGGCAGGCTGTCGGGCAGTGTGCGCGAAGTTCCTAAATAAAGCTTAATTTTTATTGTGCACTATGTCTTGTTAATATTATATTAATGCAGTAAGAACATAATCTGTGATATGGAATTCGAGGATTGGTGGTAAAACATAACAGGAAAACTCCATAATGGTAACCCGGACTGTGTTAAATCGTATGAACAGTTCTCAAGCACTTTCGGTTTTGACTACAAGCCATCACTCAAGATCTCCAAACCAGAAGTAATGGATTACATCGGTTTTCGTCCTCCGGATCACAGATGAGTAGTAATTATAGATCATTTTATAATTCTGTTTACTACTTATCATTTAATTTCATTTTCTTTAGTAAAATTTTTGCTTTTATTTTGGCTTAAAAACCTTGCACAATGTCTGATGTTCATGCCGTCCAAATTCCGGTTTATAACCGATCAGACCCATCTTTATGGTTTATTATGTGTGAAAGTACTTTTGCTCTTGCCACCCCCAAACCTATCACAGAATCCATTACTAAATATAATTATGTAGTTTCTCATCTTCCTCCAGATATCGCATCACTAGTACGGGATTTACTTATGAAACCAGACCCTATTGATCCATATGCAAAGCTTAAAACTGAGTTAATAAATCGTTCAGGAGAATCTTCTCAGCAAGAAATTCGCCAATTATTATCTGGAGAAGAATTAGGTTCTCGAAAACCTTCCGATTTGCTTAGAAATATGAAACGTCGAGCAGAATCTTTAAAATGTTCCTGATAACTTAATGTTAGAATTATTCCTTCAACGTTTGCCTTCGACTGTTCAGTCTATTTTGGCAGCGGTGTCCAATTTAACTGTAGATAAAGCTGCAGAAATTGCCGACAGAATTTTAGAAGTAAATCCAACCCCAGGGACTTGTGCCGTTTCTCGCACAGTCGATCAGTCTCTTGAGGATAAATTATTTAAACAAATAGAAAAATTAAACAAACGTATTGA